CCTCATCTACAACAGTACGACGCCAGGTTTGATTACGCGCCAATCAAGGTCCCGCTGGGGATTTAATTGGAATCTCTTCGGAGTGTATGACCTACCCATTCCCACTTACGTCGCTTGATCTGCTGGCTTATCGGGATTTAATTCTCATTGAAATGGAAATATCAAACATTATTATTTTATACCTTTCTGTTAATTTTAAAGGCGCTATTTATCTTCTTATAAATGATGATTAAACCTTAGTCTGTTGAGTACAAAAGTTCTCGTCATTTAATGATTATATAAATATCAAGATTTAGTCTCGACTCGTACAAGATAAACGCATTACGCTCACTAATATATGTCTCAGAAATTAAGTTATTATTATGACGTATCGCACATTTAAGTGAAACTATAATTGAGTGTAGTCATAACTCTAGATTTGAGAAATAGTGAAATTGCTAAAACGTGTTTATATCAAAAAGTCTAAATTTTATTATAAAATAATTAATCGCAATATAGCGAGGAAATGCTGCCAGCATTAAAGGTACACTGCCACAGAGATACTTTTTAAATTCGTTAAAATTTTATATTTATTAATCTTTAATTATTGTTATTATTACTATGTAGGTTAAGAATATTATTTACTGTATATTTGTGTGTTGGAATTAAATATTAAATACACAAATTTTTGCATGTACATTATTTGATAATACATTTTTATTTACCTAATAGTACTTTACACCTAATACTTTTTACAACGTTTATTAAAATATTGACAGTACATCGGTCCTTATTGCTACTAAGTGGTATCTTCAACCCTAATATCTATACCACCATAACTACTCGCTTGATATTGCTAATACATAAAGACATATCAACCTAGGAGATATGTTTGCCGTATGTCGAAGCGAATATATAAATTCACTTACATTAATCATTCATATAAAGTGTCAATGTCTCGATCAACACGTGGTTTCTATACACCGGAGATGACCCTCCTATGTGTGCCAGCAGGTAAGTGGGTTTACGACACTACGGATTCACACACACAAACACGCATTCATTGTTTGCGATAATTAGCACTGACTGTTAGTTCCTGGGATAGTGTGGGAATGAAAATATGTGAATCGGGATGTATCAGGCCGGTATTTTACCACCAAAATCAAATCTGTCAAAAAACAAATTAAAAAACATTAGGATTATGTAATGAATTTTTTAAATTCATTACATAATTATGTTGTAAAAAATAGTGCTAAAAATAATATACAAATAAACCTTTACAATTAATATTCTTACTATCAATACGTTATGAGTTGACTTAAGATTGTTTAAAGAAAGAGTGATTAAAAATCGTTTTAATCAAACAATAATTGATGCATGATATACGTTAATTGAATTAAATGAAAGTGTAGGGATACACTTTCGTTTGGGATACCTATTAAATATTAATTGTTAAGATTTCTAACGTTTTATCCTTTGGTGGTTGTTCCGTCAACTTTCATCATGGGCGTATTTAAACGAGTAAAAAACTACCTTTATTCAGTGGTCGAGTGCCTTAATTTATTCAGTGGTTTGATTCCTGGCAAAACAATAATAGATGCGGTATGAAACATTAGCGATACAGGGATTATTTAAAAAGAAGCAGGAATATATCAGGACTTCGCGGTGTTGGCATAGTAGTTTCAGCGTGCGACTGTCATCCCTGAAGTAAGTCCGATCCCCGGCTGTGCACCGATGGACTTTCTGTCTATATGCCCATTTAACATTCGCTCGAACAGTGAAGAAAAACATCGTGAAAAAGCCGGCTTGCCTTAGACCCAAAAAGTTGACGGCGTGCGTCATGCACAGGGGGCTGAATACCTACTTGCCTAAAAGACAAATGATTATGAAACAAATACAGAAATCTGATTTATTATTAAATTTATTTATTAAATTTGGGCTTAGGCTAAATTAGGACTTCGCAATTAAAATTTTAATAAAGATAATATCTAAACAAACATTTTCTATTCTATATAACAATAAAAGAATATTTACACTAAAAGATCTAAGATAAAGCGCACTTTACTAGAAACAAAATATGTACATAGTGCTTGCATATTAATTTCTTCGCACGATTAATTTCTAACTAGACAGCTAACAGACATCTAGATTACATATCTTAGCGAATCTTGGGGTCATTGTACTGTGATAGTGAGAGTAAATGACATTGCGTACAATGTAACGAATTCATGCGGTCTCTTATAACATTAAGCCACATTGAACAATTACACCCGGTTTCTATATTCAAAAAGTAATCGTAATTGTTACGAATCGTAGTTTTTTCTACAGAAGAACTACGACTGATAATTTGGCTATAGACGATTATAGACCAATAAAATTAAATAGGTACATAAATTTAAAGTCTTACCAATTCTTAAAAGACCGGCAACACACTCGCTAACCCTATGGCATTGAGAGTGTGCGTCCTGCCCGATTCAATAAAAAAAAATTAAATATTTAAAAATATTGTATAGGATGTTTTTTGTAAAGTTTTGGTTAAAAATTGTTTTTGATTACAATTTATTATTTGTCGGTGCGATTAATGATCAGGTATTCAAATTAAATTACTAGTCTCCGATAAATGAACAACCAATGTGTGTGGCGAAATGTCAGATGATGTTTTAAAACAAGTTCCCATTTCAATCATCACGTGTTTATCTAATTCCATTGAACCACTTTTTAGAACATTTTCCTCGAATTTTAGATATGATGATAAGAGAATTTTCAATGAGGCTCCATATCTAGGTCAAGACCAAGTGAAAGTGAGAGGCTCCCACGTTTTGGGAGGTACAGCCGACAAAAAACTAATAATTATATTATTTTTATATGACAGCTTCATATGAAAGATACAATTAGAAGGTAGGAAGTTCACATGCCCAAATAATGTGCTAATAATAAAACTATTCATATAATAGGAAAAACAAAATTACCATTTAGTGGATGGGGTAATATTGTGTTATGAATTCGTAAGAGTGAACTGAAAAAATGATTTAGGCTATCAAAAGAGTTATTACTTAACATATTCTTGTACATACGTCTTCGTTGCTTGTATTATTATTAATTCAGTTCATAATGCAATTACTTAAAACCTTTTTTTATATTGAGATGTGGGGTCTCTCTGCATCTTCACCTGCATTTACCATGGAGAGTGTTCAGAGGAGGATCGGACGTCAAGGCAGAATACAAAATACCGCACACAACCTCTATGTGGAACGAGCTACCCACTGAAGTTGGGTCCTTCAAGAAAAAGCGTATCAATTCTTAAAATGCCATTCGAAAATTAGTTACTTTTTATTTTAATATACTTCAGATACTCTGCGATGCATGCAAAGTTACTTCAAAGTCATTAGTATGTACGCTTCGTAATGACGTATTATTATGTCATTTTGATAAAAGTGACATACTGTTACGATACTTGTATTGATGACCTTCAACAGTCACAATTTTAAAGTTATCCTGTTGCTTCTCAATTTAAACTATCAAAAACACCAGTGTACCCGCCCTCTTATTAATTATTTTCAACGTGACATATTTTACTACATTGTAGTATGAATCAAAAATACCTCCCAACATTCATGCCATAGCACACACCCTTTAATTACACAACAGCGGAACATACGATAAACAGAAAAAAGTTGTCAAAGAGCCGCACTTTCTCCCGGGCTGGTCGACCCACATCACGCGAACCCGTTCGGTACGCCCAAAATATTCGATTATTAAAAATACTTTCCTGCCAATTAAGTCTGGCAGGCGGCGTTTTGTTCTTCATGTTCTGACACATGTAAAATAGCCGTAATGGTGATCGATTTGCGAAGCAAAACCGCCCTTTCATTTCCCTTATGATAACGATGACGTTTGATTGTTCAGTATACGAATGTCTTGTTGGTTAATCATTTCATTTAATCATATGTTAAGTTTTTGAATCTTAATTGCCCATTCCATTTTTGAAATAAATGGAAGGAATTCATTTTTGAACACACTCACTACTAATTGCGTTGAATTTACACCTGCGATTTCGAGATCTAAATTTTCAATTTCATTTAAGCTACTTTTCGTTGGAGTCTAGTATATTTTGTATATAGATTTATTTTTGTACCAAGATGAGTTCAGCCTCTCTATGTGGCGAAATAAATTTCAGAAAATTCTACCCAGTAACACTGAACGTAATCGTTGAGCCCTTTGGTCCCATGGTATCCCGTATTTATCTATTTAGTTATACCCTTCCTTATACATATTAGTGCAGTTAACCAGATACTTCTGCTCCCATAGAGCACAAATTTTGACGAATAGCCATTTGGAAGACAATGCGCAAGCGATGCGCATAAAAAGTAAAACCTAGCTCAATAATTAATTCGCACTACATTCACAATCAACCGTTATTTCAGAAGTAAGGCACCAGTTACAATAGTATTTATTCTAGTCGTGGGTACCGTCTGCTCTAGGGCGGGAAACAGCCTTACACTTTTGTTTGAATGTAGGTGAAATTGGAGAAACTGATGGCATAATTATCATTTGAAAATACTTTATTACTATACCTGTATCTCATACAATTGAATATTCCTTTTGATTTTTCTAACATTTTATCTTTGTGACCTTAAACAGAAATACTAAAGACTTGTTATAGTAAATGAAAAGGCACAGGACACATAAAAACGTAATTTCCTTATTTCAAAAAAAATCTAGTAACAAATCACGTGGTAAAGGCAGCCAATTTATTTATCAAAACCGCCCAAGTTTTCTTCGGAAATATGAAAAATCACAAAGTTATTTTTTTAATGTAACTTTAATCTTATAAATAGTAAACCTAATTTTTAAATCGTAAAAAGCCTATGTGAATTTCTAAATGAGAGAATGTGCATCTTTAAGTACACGTATAAGTATATATTACAAATTCAGCGCGTGTAGAACTTTCCCCAGTTAAAGTCAAACATTTGAACTTTCTATGTAAAATTTACGTATGTTTGTTTGTTTGCAGATCCACGATGCGGTTGAGGCGCGGCGCGTCGGCTTTTCTACTTCTCCTATTACATATGGTAAGAATTTTTACTGTCTAATTTTAAGTACATGTTGGCCTAGTGGCTTCAGCGTGCGACTCTCATCCCTGAGGTCGTAGGTTCTATCCCAGGCTGTGCACAGGAGTTAAGCACAGGAGGCTGACCACCCACTTGCCTATTAGATTGACAAATGATCATGAAACAGATACAGAAATCTCAGTCCCAGACTTAAAAAGGTTGTAGTGCTACTGATTTATGTATTTTTTATTTAATTTTGAGTACAAATATAACATATTGTTCATATGAGTTGTGTAATATCTGCAGTAGGTTTATCTGTATAAGACAGGATCAAATGAACTCTGTAACAAGTGTATGATGAGTATAATGATACTGAATGAACAAAAATGGGGTTAAGAGTCTTTACATAAGGGGTATAAAAGCTTTTTCGGACATTGACAGTAAACGCTTGCTGTTAATATTTACCATATTTAATGCTGTTACAATATTTAAATTATTATTCAAACGTATTTATTACTAATATTAATGATTTAAGAGTACGTATATACAGTTTATTAATTGTACATTTAAGTTTATAAGTCAGTTACTTTTGACGGTTTATCTTGAGACAGAATAATTTGCAATATATAATATAAATATATATAAAACATAATAAAAGTAATAGTAATTAGGGAGTTCCTTATGTCATATTTTAAGGCTGATTACATATTGATTGATTAATAGAATAAGGGCATGAACTTCTTAAATAATTTATTCCCTAATCAAATTAAAGTAATATTAGATGTAAAGCATATTAGGACTAAACTTCATTAAAGACTTCCTTTTTTCTTCTTACAATAAAGTTCACAAAAGATTCGTCAAGAAGACACGACTTTACATGAATAACAATCTAGCCTATACAATAATTATTATGGTTAATAATGTCGACTTAATTTTCTACAATACTAGTGAATAGCTTAAACTAAGGTAACAGTCTTAGTGTTCTATAATGTTTTGATACTATGTTCGTGTATCCGAGATACCGCACTTGCACTTATACGCCCGAACCCAATAACTTATCTCAATCCATAATCCACCATCTGAGATAGTAATCTTAATCCAAATGTTGTAAAAAGTGTGCCAATAGCCAATCGACGGATTGTAATAGCCATCAGTCGATATAATCTATCCATGGGAGGACGTATCGGTGTCTATGGATAGACCTTTGAATGAAAATGACAGTTTTTTTTTTTAAAGACAATTCACACCAATTGACCGAGTCCCATGGTGAAGCTTGTGTTATGGGTACTAGGCAACGGATATACATACATATTATAGATAGATAGACATATAAATACATATTTAAACACCCAAGACCTAAGCACAACACCAAATGCTCATCACATTGATGTTCGTCTCAGCCGGGGATCGAACCCGGGACCCATGGATTCGCAGTCAGGGGTACTAACCACTAGACCAATGAGTCGTCAAGTTGACGAAAGCTCGATTTCAACAGTTAATTATTTTAACAGATTTTAACTTTCACCAGTTTTTTAAATAATTATACATGTATATTTTAATGTTATTTGTACGGTTTTATTTACTTTATTTGGTTTACATTGATTATCAAATATGAGTGAAAACTCGGTAAAATGGAACGACAAAGACCATTTACACCTGAACCAACTTTTTTTTATAATAATGTTGACAGTACTAGACTGGCGCCATTCAAAGAAATTAAATCGTCATTAATTCTCTTTGTGAGTACCACAAAGCAGTTAGTTGAAAGTCTACATATAGCCCATAAATGGGTGATCACTGTGCGCCGGCGCACTTCGTTGAATTATACCTTCTAATTAAGATTGATTTATTGGATGCGCTTTTAACTTTTATAGGAAATTAGCTATTAGGGAGATATGGCAATTTCATTTATGCGATAAATCTAGAGAAGCGTGTACTTATACTTGCTCAAAACAGAAACGCCGATCAATGATTAAAGATTGTATTTATCTGTCCTTATATATTTCTATTTGAAATGATTTCATATATACATACCCTATAAGCAGATATATTAATTAAATCCAGAATTGTAGGCGGCTTTCTTCGCTCGTAGTTTTTCAAGTTTAATTTTCAAAATACGCATTTACAACAGTTCATTGACCCATTGTTTGTGTGGCATGTGATTTTTACTTTCTGACGAAAGCGCACTCGCACTCTTAGGGTCTGTTCACCAATGTATGGATAAAGTACCAAATAGCTATGCAACACATAAATTATTTGTAAGATAAATTGTGCTATTTGACATTCATCGGACTCGTAGCTTATGATGGACTTTATGTGACGAATGGCGCTATCTGACAGTCGTGAAACGCAACAATAGTGTTTATCCTACCAATAAGTAATAAATAGCTAATTTGGAACTTATGTAGAACTTATCCGTACATTGTGAAACAGACCCTTAGAATAGTAAATTTAATAAAACATATACGTAGACAGTTAACAATATACTTAAAAAACGACTTCTGAAAGTGTTTTATATAAATGTAGTACATGCGTAAATTAATAATTATCAATGCTGTCTTCTAGATAAAATTAAAATAGGCGTCTTCGATCCTATTCTATGCAAACAATGTTGCGGATTCTGTTAATGCGCTATAAAAACAAGAACCGATAGGGGCGTGTCGTCCATAGGAAATAAAATGAGATCGAATCTAACACAGTCAGCGGGTAGAAGCGCCAAATATGGCAACTCCGACCTACTGCCACCGACGGACGTGTGCAGTTCCGTCTGCGCACTTTTTACTTGCTGTGCTTTTACGTACATGGCACGGTGTAACAGAATTGCACATACAGTTTGCATACCCGAGAAAAAGAAATTAGTATCAACAATAATTAGCATGGAACCTTACAAAACAATTATTTTATAATGAAGGTTTTTGTTAACTTATATTTAATAAGGTATGTATTTGGAATAAGGCTTATTTCGACGGTTTGTTCCGACTATATATGCTCGTAAACTACTGAAGCAAAACATCGGGACAACCCAACACCTCTTAGTCATACCTACTTAAAATTCGATGACATGTACGAAGAAGTAAGATCACCCAATTGCGTATAAAAAAATGTCTAATAAACAAAAGCCTTCACCTCTGGCTCCATCAGTTCGGTCTTGACCCATAAAGGGATGTTACGCATACGTATTCCTTAGAGCCTCATAGCAAATCTTTCAAAGATTCAGCCGAAGGCTAACATAAATTTATGACAATAGCTGAGAGTCGCCTTATGAGTAAAAGTCAGCTTTCCCGGCGGTCGGTCGCGGCTCGACCTACAGCGACGACACACATTGAACTTGAAATCCTGCTCGTCATTCTAGGCATTGTCCCACTACTCGCCTCACCCTGTTTTTATAACGAGCTTTAGTTTTAAAAGGCGTTTAGGTTAAGCTTTTGCAAGTGGTTTTCTTTGCATAGTGATCGTCTATTCATCTTTATTCATTCATGAAGCAATTAGATATATTTTCAAATTTACTCGCTTTATTTCGTACTGAATTATTCGTTTGATTATTATGAAATACAGGTATCATGTTAGCTATATACTAATGTTAAATATAGATTTGGGGATAAAGAATATCTTTTGATATTTGTATACAAATGTGTCCGTTGTATAAAACGGATCGTACGTTTGAAACAACGGAAGGTATGTTAGTCCAAAAAAACTTTATTCCTGAAATCTGTATATCATTTCATAAAGTCCCCAAACCACAGAACAATAAACAAAGAGGAAATCACCACAAACATAGAGAGTGACGTTTAGTCGTGCAATGATACATAATGAAAGTAAAATTAGTCCGGTAGGAGCAACGACCGCACACTGACACACTGCACTTGAGTTGCCACTTGCCGGCCACTCCTTAGCACGTAGTGTAGACGGATCTTGCGCGTACGCAGCTTCAACTTATTAAGACATCACTATGCATCTTTACTATCAGTGTTCTGTTCAGTACATGTTTTTATTACTACGTTGTGTTTTCGTTTCTCTAATATTGGTATCTTTCAAGGTGTGATGTTCGAGCCAATATTTTTATCGACTAAGTTTCAAGCAGTTTTTTCTTAGATTGTTATTATTATAGCTGTAGTTGTGTTTGGACAAAGAGCTATTAGACAGTTTCAGTCAGTTGTAGTTTTGTAAATTAAATTCCATATTTTATGACCAATTATTCATAAATACTATATTAGGGTAAAAATATTTCAAATAAATTAAATATAAGCACGCTGTTGTGTTACTACTAATTGTAAAAGCATCAATTACTCTGCCGTTAATTCTTTCTTCAATATCTCTTGTCTATTAAACTTCTAAGATTTGTAATTACCCTAAACGAAATTTAAAACTTTCTCCTTTATTGTATAACACGATGCGTGTAAGTGATTGTGAGATTCAATTCTCAAGATTATGATCCATTCGGATTCCAATCTCAACTAATTGCTATACCTGACAGTCGACACGAAGGAGGAACCTTTATAAGCCCACTCATAAATCTCTATTGGAGAAATAAAACAACTTCTACGTACATACACTCTGACCAGATACCAATACTTTCTAATTTTGTGCCTCGAGGTTAAATAAATGAGAGGTATGAAGCATCGATGAATTTATATCGGCCGGTAGAAATTCAACGCCCATAACAAATCAGATATCGAAAATAAAACGACACTTAATTCACAAGTAATTTTAACCGCCAAAATAACTTCCAAAAACTATTCGGCGTAAAACAAAAAGTAAATAATTAATGATTAAGTGTAAACTCGTTGCTCGAAACCTGTTACATTTAACAAGCAGAGCGGTCAGTGGAATGATGATTTAAATCGAATGTAAAACAGAGTAATGGGCAACTTTCACATGATTCTATTTTTGTCCCATGAAAATTTGAATGCGAGAGTCATCTAGCCAGATTTCGCTCGAGCGACCCAGTCTTGGGTGTTGTCGCATAACTTCCGACCAAGTTATCCGGGAGTGTTTCAACGGTCAGTGTGTCGAATTAAATAACACTTAAAATATTGCCCACGCGTACTAGTGAAAGCGAGGATACAAAGACGAAACAATTTTCGTCTTTAACTTTTATTTTATTTAAAATACAGTTCTTCGAAACAATTACATTCTATATTGACAAAGGTAGTTATAAAATTGTTTTAATTCCAGAATGGCACATTCGGTGACCAATCATCGAACGAGAATGCTGGGGGAGGTAATGCAAGTCCCGATGCAAACAGTGCGGCGGAGCCCTCGAGTGACCAGTTAGCTATGGAGTCCTCAGAAAGGGATACTCCAAGTCATGCATACAATGGACCGCCACCACCTGTACCACCACAACTTAACAGGAGGCAGAATCCAGCTCATCATCAGCCGCATCATGCAATAGGTATAAAACTAAATATTTCTGCAATTGAAATTCGTGACCTTGGGTCATTTCAGATAGAACAGTATTTAATGATAATAATTCAATTTTCAGGTATGCCAAGAATTACAAACCATCATCCGATTCACTCCAAGCCGTTTGCTCTCGGACCTCCTGTCAATCACCACAAAAATGAGATTGGAACAGGTTTCCGTGGACCTCCACCACCTCCGGCACCTCCAGCAGATGCTCAGACGTCAGCGAGTGACAAGGTTTTTAGCACAACAGGAGATGTCTGGCCTGCACCAGCACCAGATATGCCTAAAATTGTTTCACTAGATGTGAAATGCGAAAAAAATGCTATGCGGGTGTTTCTCAGCTTTGACAAACCCTTCTTTGGTATAGTATTTTCCAAGGGTCACTACTCGAACCACCAATGTGTTCATCTTCCACCTAATCTAGGAAGAACTTCGGCCTCATTTGAGATCGGAGCTCATGCATGTGGCACTGCAGGTAGTGGTGACCCTAGATACAGGGGCGATGTAGCTGCTGCTGGTACATACTTTGAAAACGTAATTGTAATACAATACGACCCACAAGTACAGGAAGTATGGGATCAAGCGCGTAAGTTGCGTTGTACATGGCATGACCAGTACGAAAAGGCTGTCACATTCCGACCATTCCCTGTAGATATGCTAGACGTTGTACGGGCTGACTTTGCTGGTGATAACGTTGGTTGCTGGATGCAAATTCAAGTTGGCAAAGGACCATGGGCTTCTGAGGTATCGGGTTTAGTAAAAATAGGACAGACCATGACTATGGTGTTGGCAATTAAGGACGATGATGCCAAGTTCGATATGTTAGTACGGGATTGTGTAGCTCATGACGGCCAGCGTGCTCCAATTCAACTCGTTGACAGACGAGGTTGCGTTACAAGGCCTAAGTTAATGTCGCGGTTTACAAAAATAAAGAATTTTGGAGCTAGTGCATCAGTATTGTCATACGCTCACTTCCAAGCATTTAAGTTCCCTGACTCAATGGAAGTTCACTTCCAATGTACGATACAAATCTGCAGATATAGATGTCCCGAGCAGTGCTCTGAAAGTTCCAATGTTATTGCTCCGCATGCTGAATACGGCCCACCTCAGATTGATTCATACCCAGTAGGAGTGGAAGTTAGGCGAGACGAAAGAAGGGTCAGGAGACAACGAGCAACATCACCAGAAAAAGAAGTCGGGGTCAACAGAGTCATTCGAGTCGTCTCAGCTGGTGACCTAAATATGGACTCCTCAGATGAAAACTCCGCTCCACGTGTGGTACCGACACCCGGACTTGTTTGTATGACTACTCCTGGCTTTGCTGCGACTCTTGGTGCTCTCCTAGTGACACTGATAAGCTCATGTGCCGTATCAGCAGTTCTATTCTTTAAGTTACGGCCGATCAGTAAATTGAAAAAGAAGACTGCTCCAATCGCAACGATAACTCGACCGCATCCTCCTACAGGGCCATGTCATGTCATTTCAAAGAGTCGATTTTACTCGTAACATAGCATTTTACTTAATATGTAAATATTAGTGTGATGAGACTGAAGTATATAGTTCAATGATAATTGGAAACGTTAACAAAAATCTGTACATTCAGTACGAGTGCTCAATTGGTTAAAAAATAATATAAGCTTTTGTTATTTTGTATTAAAACGAATTTCATTATGGGACCATATTCAAAGTATTAGACATTTAAGCAGCCTTTAGAATGTTTAGGGTAACTGGTAACGAAGACAAAGTTATACCTAAGATTATACGCAGAAGAAACTTCTATTATGTAACTTATAAAATAGATAAATCTATAAAATAGTTACTAGCATGCATTTTTGTATATTAAGATTATTTATCATTTTGTTGGCCATTATTTATTCGTTTATTTTAATAGTACAAACCAGATGCGGACATAAATAATATCGGGCTATACCTTTATTGCCATGAAAGGAGAATGTTTATACGTTGATACTAAAATACGTAATGACTCATAATTTATATGCTTGAACTTTATTGCTAGTTTAGCTTGAAACGAAAATGACTCTTAGAAACCCATCTACGAAATCTATTGACAGTACTTACGACAATTTAACGTTGTTAGATCAAAGTATATTATGAACTAGCTGCCCCTGGAACTTCATTTCACCTTAATATATTTTTATTAGTAAGCTTACTTTTCTAGTAGTTAGCTTACTCTTTTAGTAAATAACTAACATATGAAAAAAAAATTTTATATTTTCCGATAGTTTTTCTCCATAAAAAAATTCCTCAGAGTTCAATAAATAAAATAAAGCAATTGATTTAAAAAAATCTTCGAGTATAACTGCATATTCCGCGATACATTTTTTAAATAGATTCACAAAGTTTCTGATACTTTATTAATGAGAATTTACATTCTGTAAATATTTTATAAATATTGCCTCAAGTTTTCGGTCCGCATCTGTATTTTAAAAAGCATTTAAATTAATGTTATTAAAATATTTAGTGATTAAATAAGTACACTCTTCTGTTGCCTCTTGTTGAATAACTTTGATGAAGGGGCAACGGAAAATGTTTAAACGGTAGTTATAGTTAAACCGCTAGTATAATTGTTTAAATTAACTTGTCATTAGTATTAATAATATTTATTTTAGTTAAGGTTTTGATGCAGCAATGGCTTGTGTATTCTACTAACTGTTGGGTACTTAAATACATAAGTAACTAATTACAACAAATCTCTAAATAAAAAAATATTAAAACTTCTGGGATAAAAATAGGCATAAATTGAATAAGGCATATAAATTGATCATATAACGAAATGTATACGAATTTTCTTTTCTAATAATTTACTTTGTTAAAATCTAAAAGTATTTATTCGTGTAGATAACTTTTGTATTATATATTTGAGATTTATGAACGTCAAAAATGTCAGGCTAAGGGTCTGTTTCACAATGTATGGATAAAGTACAACTATTTTGTACTTTATCCATACATTGTATCTATGCAACACATAAATTATTTGGAAGATAAATTGTGTTATTTGACATTCATCGGACTCATAGGCCATAGCTTATGATGGACTTTATGTGACAAATAGCGCTATCTGACAGTAGTGAAACGCAACAATAGTGTTTATCCTACCAATAATTAGTAATAAATAGCTAATTTGGAACTTAAGTAGATCTTATCCGTACATTGTGAAACAGACCCTAAGCAGACTAAATACGATTTAGTAAAATACATAGCCATTGCGACGTAGTCATAATTATATTTAAACTGTTTGAACCACCTCAGTACCTCTTCTTACTTTTCACAATACTCCCGAGTGTATATTTAACTGTATGTGATCATGTTTTATTGAAATTTTAAATGTTTATCAGTGAATGTACAATGTCAAAAAGAAAATGTAACATTAAAATATATTCACAAAAGACTATCATTTTATTTTCGTGACACTTATCGAAAATATTTATAAATACTAATGAATTACCCTAAATATATGCAAAAACTTATGACCTTTATTAGCAATATTCTTTCATTATTTAGAATGCGCGTCGTAACGTGATGCTTGCATTATGTCAATGGTTTCGATCGTCATCTGAACGAGGTGTTATAATAAAATAAATAGAAGTAAATTTGCGAGATAGTATGTCAATCTTAACCCAGAACCGACAAAGCGTAAACTTAGACAAAATCGCACCGTCACTGCAACTTGATTTAGTGTAGAAAACCTATTAGATAAAAGTGTGTAATTATTTAACTGAGATTAAATGCAATTGGCTTCTCGGATTGTGTACCCTTAAACATGTATACATTTAAAAAAAATCTTTGATTGAATAGGCTATAAATAAAAATATGAGAGCAGTGTTGCCTTAGAGGCGTCAGCGAGTCAAAATATCTCAACGTGTGAGATATTTAAAAAAAACTTTATTTAAAAGATTACACTTTTTATTTTAAAGATATACAAATTTACTTAAGATTTAAAAGATTACACAAATTACTTAAGATTATCTAGAGCCTAGTGCTAGGTGGTGATGTGAATGACCAGTTGTCACGAGTCTTCTGCTTATATACAAAAGATGCGACGTCTGCGGGGTAGAATGCCGGTGGTCACTGGTGTCATCTTAGGAATGCAGTCTTAATGACTTATTGTTTCTTAATGTGCATTTGTTCTTAATGACTTATTGTTTCATTCCAAGGTGTCATTGCTCGGGGTTGTTTATCTTTATGAGAGGTGTCAGGATTCTCAATAACTAGATCATTGTTATTTCTTTTAAAAAGAACCCTAGTGACTTGGGTGGCTTCACTCTCCCCTTCCAAATTCGAAGTCCTAGGTTTCCAAACCTTGGATCTGAGAATTTTAACAAGAATTATAATGACAATTATTATAGTTATAATACTGATCCAACTATATTGAATAATTTCATGTTGTCTGTGTTCACTAAAAGAATCTATAGTTTTTAGTTGCTTCAGCTTAGACTTGATTTTTGTAGCGTCATATACAATGTCTATTTCTGATGCAGTTTTTATCATTGGAATATCAATATTAGCAATTATCATTTTGTCTTTTGACTCTGTGGTTTTGAACATTTTTATACCAGAAATATTTAATTCACAGTTTTCACCGTACAAAATGTTTGATCCTTTTGTCCATAAAGTTTCTTGGTGATTATTACAATTTGCACTTACTTCTGTGGTTTTATTAAAGAACATGTATATTGCTTTTGGTGAAATTTGAAATACTTCCTGAACTGGGCATTTTATTGGAACAGCTTGACACTTGTCACTTTCTTTCTTGTTAAGTATTTCTGACTCACAAGTATTGATTTTAATTAAATTTCCTTTACATATCTGAAAATCCAAATTTCGGCAGTCCTCTACTTCATAGATTTCTTCATCGTTGTATGCTAAAGTAACCTTTTGCATTATAGGATAGGTACAGGAGGGATTATTTTGGATAATGGGAACAATTTTCCTTGACTTATAAACTTGAATCTTAACTAATGGTATATTAATAACAAAGTATATTATCTGATTTATAATTCGACTATTAACTGTTATAAAAGATTCTATTAAAATTACATTTTCTGATGGAGTTAATTTTCTGAACTTGAAAGCTGTGACGAAGAAGATGAGTCTGGAACAATATTTAGTTCTTCAACATGATATGATCGACCATTACTCAATTTATACTTATTATGTGGCTCTACACTGACTATAGTGAATGGACCTAAAAATCTAGGTTTAGTTTTATGCCGATCTGCCATGCTATTTTTTAAATAAGCGACATTACCTACTTTATAAATCTTAGGGGTTTTAATTTTCCTATTAATTCGTTCATTTCTAACTTCTTTACCTCGTTTTAATAATTCATGAACATTTTTATTTAAACTTTTTGAAAATTCTCGCTGTTGAGCTGTATAATTTTGTATAACTACTTTGAGATTATCAAAGCTACGTAATTTTGCTTTCCTTCCAAAATGAACTTCAAATGGTGTCATATTTATGGAGCTATGCACCGTGTTATTGTAGGAATGTGTTATTAAGTTAATTTTTTGATTTTTTTCTAGATCAGAATCTCTTTGTAAACGATATAGTTCTTGAATAGTATTATGCAGTCTTTCTACATCTGAGTTAGATTTATGATGTTGAGGTGTAGTTGTATAATCTTTAATGTTATAAGTTTTAAAAAGTTCTTGCATGATAATACTACACATTGATTGTTCACCATCATGAATAATTTTATTAGGTGTACCTATTAACGCAAAAATTTCTGCTATAGTGTCGTATACTCTACTTTTTTCAGATGGTTTGACTATAGCGTACTTTGAAAATTTATCTATAACTGTAAGATACCATTGTCCTTCTAAAGACATGAAGTCAATGTGCCATATATCCATAGGCTCATAAGGAGTCTCTGTTTCTAAAGATAAAGATACATTAGGATGTCTGTTATATTTTTCCTTTTTACATGTTTCACAATTTAAAATATATTTCTTTATTTGTTTACGCATATTTTCCCAATAGTATTTGTCTCGTAACTGTTTATACACACTTTCTATACCAGCATGTCTATGTTCAAACAAATGATATTCTCTAATTAATGTTAATTGTTCTTCCTTGTCATCTATTTCAATTAAATTTCTTGTATACCTAACTGGCTTAAATTTATTATGATCAAAATACTTCCTATAAACTTCTGTAACTTTATAATATAATTCTTCATTAGGTATGATAAAAGCATATTTATCTTTACTTAAATATTCTAACATAAATTCTTTAATAATTTGTTCTTCATTATTGGGTGGAATATAAAAATACCACATACCTCTTTCATAATTTGCTTTTTTGTACGGAGCAACTTCAAACACTACACGTCTTAACCGTTTGGGTGGATAACTATTAATAATTGGTATGCCTCCATCGCTATTCTCTTGACAAGAGTGTATTGTGTTATTCAATGACCTATTGTCTTTATCTGACACCCAAGAATTAGTGTCTGTATTTACTGGTGTAGTATTTAATGATCTATTGTCATCGTCATGTTGTACAGCTAATGAGTCTTCACTTGTGTGGTGTAATTGTATTCTGCTTAAGGCATCTGCTACATAATTTTCTTTACCTTTAACATGCTCTATTTTATAATCATAATCTTGTAATTTTAACTTCCAACGAGTTAACCTTTGATTTGGTTCTTTTAATTTTGATAACCATATTAAGGCTTTATGATCTGTTCTTAATATAAATTTTCTTCCATAAATGTAAGGTCTAAAATGTGTTACGGCCCATAAAATACCTAATAATTCTTTTTCTGTTGTATTATATTTTTGTTCAGTTATACTCAGTGTTCGCGATGCGTAAGCTATCGGATGATTTTCCTGACTTAATAAAGCACCTAATGCGATATCAGAAGCGTCTGTAGTTATAACAAAGGTTTTATCGAAATCGGGAAAAGCTAGAATAGGAGTATTACTCAATAAATGTTTACATTTTTCAAATGCTTCTATATATTTCTTGTCTGTAATATCTATAATAGCGTTTTTCTTAGTAACTTCCGTAAGTGGTTTTATAATTTTACTTAAATTAGGAACAAATTTTCTATAATATCCTATCAATCCTAAAAATCCTCTAACTTGTTTTAATGTTTTTGGTATAGGGAATTTTTGAATGACCTCTATTTTAGACTGATTTGGTTTTAAGCCATCTTTATTTAAAATATGTCCTAAGAATTCAATTTCTTCTTTCATAAAAACGCATTTGTTTTGGTTTAACTTTAAATTAACTTTTCGTAACGCTTCAAAAACTTGTTGTAATTTATTTATATGATCCTGTTCACTTTTTGAATAGACTATAATATCGTCTAAATATACTAAACAGATATTATGTGAAATCTCATTTCTTAATACATTATTCATCATTCTTTGAAAAGTTGCGGGTGCATTTTTTAAACCAAATGGCATTCTTAGAAACTCATAATGACCGTTAGGTGTACTAAACGCTGTCTTTTCTATAGAGTGATTTTCCATTAATATTTGGTGGTATCCTGAAGTTAAATCTAATGTTGTAAAATAATTATTACCTTGTAATTTTGAAAATAATTCTTCTATATTTGGCAAAGGAAATTTATCGGATTTAGTTCCTTCATTTAATCGCCTATAGTCTATTACCATTCTCCATTTCTTAACACCTGATTGATCCATTTTTTTAGGAACTAAATGCACCGGAGATGACCATGGAGATTCGGACGGTCTTATTATATTTTCGTCTAATAATTTACGAATTTGACTATCCACTTCTTGTTGTTGAGTTTGTGGTAACCTAAATGGTCGTTGATAAATAGGTTCCTCGTTTATTAACGTAATTTTATGACGTATTGAAGTTGTTGCGCTATTTGTTACGTCTTCGGTAAACAAATCACTATACGTTTTACATAAATCTTTAATGTTTAATAAGTTGTCATCAGACATATGAAAAATCAATAATTCATTTTCTGGTAAAATTAATTTTCTTTCCCTTAAATCAATTAATGCTTCTATCTGCTCTATCATGTCGGTACCCATTAAAATATCATATTTGTCACTAAAATTAAATACGTAAAATTTCATATTACCCTTATCTACATCACCAAAATATTTTGTCCAAAATGGTGTTTCAATTAGACCATCGTGATGTGTTACACCATGAGAAGTTCGCACCGTGAATTTCTCTGGTTTATAATATTCACTAAAGTTTTCCGAAGCCTTTTTTGTAATAAAAGAACGTTGACTACCGGTATCTATCAAAATTTTTAACTTTGGATTATTTGTTTCGAAATATGGTAAATATGATTTAACATGATTAAACTCTATGATTTTTTTATTACTTTTTCTTCCGATTGAAAATTTTCTTCATTGACAACCTCTGAGGATTCATCAATAATTGCTTGTTCACCATATTCCTCGTATTCATGAGGATATCCATAATATACATCTTCCCCCATATTTTCCTCATGGAAGAAAACTTCTTCCGCTACCATACCTTTCCCTAAATTTATTTGCCCCGGTCTAAGGTGAGGAGCCGTTCGCATTGACACATCAGTCGTCTCATTTGGCAACCGATTTTGTTGAAACTTTTGATTAGGATAATGTTGTTGTTGACCCCTAAAGTAATCATGTTTAGGTTTAGTAAATACATTATTTGGATTCGGTATCCAAGCATTATTTGGTCTGTTTGATTGTATTCTTTGATTAATTGACCTTTGTGTTGGTGGATAAACATGTCTCGAATGTTGTTGCGGTATGTTATACGATCGCGGATACTGGTAACTAGGTCCCGCTGCATTATACATCGGATAGTGTGGTTTAATATAATTTTGTATAATCTTTGGTGGAGGTAAAATTTGCGAAAATTTTTGTTTTATATTATCAAATCTTCCCTCTGCTTCAAAATTTAATACCCGATTTACAGATTCTGTAAAACTACAATTTGAAATAAAGTTTTGATCGTGATATGGAAGATTATTGCGCAAAGTATTTTGTGCTACATTAACATATGGTATCATCATATCTTCTACCCTATTCCTATCTCTATAAGTATCCATTAACTTACTTTTCATATAAAATAATTTTTGTTTCAACTCAAAAATTAATTCACTATATGTATTTTTTCGTTTTAAATTTACTATTTCTATTAATAATGTATTAAGTTCACGATTATCACCACATTCACTTTTTAATATTTCCTCTATGTTTGCCCATTTTAATTCATGGTCCATCATACTCACGCATGCGGCTGCTTTGCCTTCTAACTTACTTATAAGTAACATAGTAGTATCTGGGGACTCACCTCCCACGCGCATTAACCATTGTTTTGCTCTGTTTAAATAGTTATATAATCTGTTTGGGTCACCATTATAAGATGGGACGTATGCTAATAAAGTTTTAGGATCCATTATTTCTAATCCTTTTTTTGTTTGTATACTTAAAATATCTAATGAACTTGGAACACTATGGAGCAAGTTAGTATTATCTAATGAACTTGGCACACTATGGAGCAAGTTGGTATTACTATCTAATGAACTTGGCACACTATGGAGCAAGTTGTTATTACTATCTAATGAACTTGGCACACTATGGAGCAAGTTGTTATTACCCTCACTACTAGAAGGAGGGTGATTCACACCACAATCACTAACACTTACTCTATTATATACAAAAGTCGGAGGTTTGAGAAAGAAAGGAATTTTGACGGGATTTAAAATGCAAAGGTACTTACAGAAGACCTTGTAGTAGTTCCCGGAACATGTCCTTCTTCACTTTTCCTCTTGATATTTTGACTTATTTATTTCTTGTGTTACCCAGCGTTTCGTTTTTAAGAAAACTTCGTAATTCCTTGGTCGTTGAAATCAACTGGATCGATGATCGCGTTGTTAAATTATTTATTTATTATGCGACGAGAAATTACGTTGCTGGGCCCCACGTTGGGCGCCAGTCAAAATATCTCAACGTGTGAGATATTTAAAAAAAACTTTATTTAAAAGATTACACTTTTTATTTTAAAGATATACAAATTTACTTAAGATTTAAAAGATTACACAAATTACTTAAGATTATCTAGAGCCTAGTGCTAGGTGGTGATGTGAATGACCAGTTGTCACGAGTCTTCTGCTTATATACAAAAGATGCGACGTCTGCGGGGTAGAATGCCGGTGGTCACTGGTGTCATCTTAGGAATGCAGTCTTAATGACTTATTGTTTCTTAATGTGCATTTGTTCTTAATGACTTATTGTTTCATTCCAAGGTGTCATTGCTCGGGGTTGTTTATCTTTATGAGAGGTGTCAGGATTCTCAATAACTAGATCATTGTTATTTCTTTTAAAAAGAACCCTAGTGACTTGGGTGGCTTCACTAGCGTATGACTCTTATCTCTGAGGTCGAAGGTTCAATCCCCGGCTGAGCACTACGATTCGCTCGAACGGTGAAAGAAAACATCGTGAGGAAACCGGCTTGCGTTAGACCCAAAAAGTCGACGGCGTGTGTCAGGCACAGGAGGCGGATGACCTACTCGCCTAATAGATTAACAAATGATCATGAAACGGATACAGAAATCTGAGGTCCCGACCTAAAAAGGTTATAGCGCCACTGATATGATTATTTTTATAAATAAAAATATAGCATTTTAAAAATAATTTATTTCATTAAAAATAACAAGTGGCTTTCACAAAACTTTATGAAGATTTTAAATATTATACAGACAAAATATATAAACAAAATCCCAATCAATAAAATAAAATTGCACGTTTCATTATTTATATCTTATTAATACATACTGTGTTTCATTAAAGAAAAATTAAATAAATCCAAATGGAGAAATACCTTATACAAACTAAAAATAATTTCAAATTGAAAACAGAACAAAAATGTATATAAAAAGTCTTGAAAATACTAGAAGTGAAAAATTAATTAAATAAATATATGTAAAGCAATTTGTTACGTTACACAAAATACTCGAATACGAGTTAATATAAAATTAGCTTAGAAAATCAAAAGCCAAAGTTTTCGTTGGAAAAACACCCTTATAAAAACCCTAATTAACCTTTATTCACAAAAACTAAATCAGTCTTATTACACTGTTTTACCAATTTAACACACCAGTGCTTTACGGTGAAATAAAACTAATTTACTTTTTAATAAGAGTAAATCTATATATAATATTGAGCAAGATAGGACAAGAATAAATGCAGAATAAATGCAATCGTATAACTAATTATTAAATTAATATTATTGTATTCATTGGTGTTTCAACAATTGTCTTAAGTAAATTAAACTAAAAATAAGAAAATGTTTTAATTTTACAAAAGTTTTTTAAGTCATACATTAAATACAATTATTATCTATAAATAATTTTTGTGATGGTCGTATTGTGCGTTTGACTGAATCGCGGGATTTCTATATCTAAACCAATCGTAATGCCTACGAAGCGATTGTGTGTATTAGATATTGAATGCGGGCTATAGACAAGTTTCAATTTCAAAAAACCATTCAAAGTATTGGTTTTTATTCATATCAGAGCCTCTTTGACACGTTGAATAATCGGTCTGTTTATATTGCCAGACATTGATCTTGCCAGACACTTGCCGTACCAAGCATGTTTACATTTAGGTCCAAACAATGACATACACGATCGGAAACAGCCAATCTCGCCGAACAAAGGACGCGTCCGATACTAATATGTTCGGCTGATAGCTATACACTACACAGATAAAATTATGCTACTGTTCTAAACGAATGAAAAGTAGATTTCAAATATCTGTGCGCATAACGTGTACGTATTTTTTTTTTGACGGAGACGGTTCTATCACTATATAGTTAATACTTTGGGAATTTCAAAGTAGGATACCACTCGCATATGGGCTTCAAATGTTACGATACATCCAAAAATTAATTTGCCTTTTACTCTTCACAGTTATTTATCCGGAGCTTAGAGGGTTTCATTATATACGTTACCTCATAATCTTAAAACACTTTGAAAGTATCGTTATATTTATTGAGCATAAAGAAAATCTTATACTAATGGCATGACTCAACATACTTACCGCTAAAAGTTTAAAATATAACGATTATAAACTGTACAAACTTATAAAAAAGCGTTTTCAATGATTTATCTATGAATCGTAGATACATCACTGAAAATAACGATTTACAGGAATATTTTAAAAACGAATACGATGTTTAGTAAAATAAATGTTTATTTATTAACGTTATTTAATGACGTTTTTAAAATAAGCCTGTTACGTGCGAATAAAATCAACAGGACCATGTCCAAGTTAGCACCATCCTTTTCAAATAGAACCATCGTTTTCTATATAATATGTATATTCTTCTCAAAATCGAAATATATAAAAAGTTGATCATTTAAGGCAAATGTGTAAAATAAAACGTTATATAAAAAAAAATGTTTGGAATACATGTTTAGTAAACTATGTCTACAATATAGAAGTCTGTTTTAGTAAAAATAACTAACTTCAGAACTCAATCAATAATTAAATGAGCAATAAAATTGTGCTATGCGATTAAAAATCACTGTTACGTGATCACGTGACCACTTCGATACAATTTCGGTAGCGAGTCACGCTGGACGCAAAGTATCTTTGTCTAGGCATCTGAACTACGGATTCGTAGTTCGGTACACTTTTTCTAACAAAATCATAAATTTATTTAATAATCTCGGAATATATAGGAAGGATGTAGGCACTGCGAAGTATAAAATTTAATCAAAAAAAAAATGTATATTATGCAGAAACGCTGGTTTAATGTTACCGAAAAGCCGTTCCATCCTTCAAAGAAAACCATTGCATACAAACGTTGAAATCTTGAAATTGCATTTTATGAACATTAATTGGCGCTGGTAAAATAAAATCAATCGAGAAAGTTTTTTCTGCAGCGTTTTTTGAACACGATAGTTTTAGTGAAATAATTGAAAGGGAGGTCATAAAGTGAGCTATGAATGAAATTGTATGTTCCGACGTATCACAACAAAAACTTATAAACAATTCATGTTTTCAAATGTTACACAAATGTGATACAAATGTTAGTTTATGATATTTATTAGGTATTGATTTCCAATATGTTATGGTTATTTTTGATGTAGTTTTAAAGTTTTCATCATGATATAGTTTACAAAAACCACAGTAACGAAATTGCGATTACGCTTTTCATTACTGACAATATTCATTAATTATAAATAAGGCCAATGATACGCTAGTGCCTTAAAGACCTCACAAATTCAAAGAAAATATCAACTGTCACTTGTCAGAAATACAAATTTTACAATATTTTTGGGATAATTTCATTCCCGTGAGTGCGGTGTTCCTAGTAATCGTAAAGCCATCCAGGCAGCGAGGGAGTGCGATGCCGGAGCTGGTGATATCGGCGTCTGAGCAGCCATGCGCGCGCGCAACTTATGCAAGAGAACTGCAGCGGCCAGTGCAGCTCCAGCGGCTGCGCCTGCCGCTGAAGCGAAGAGGGCTCCGAAACTAACCGCGCCCATACATATTCCGTAAACCACCTGGAAAAGACAGATATAAATAATTATTTTATTTATTTTTCATTAATTCATACAAAATTATGTACTTTAAATTATTTTATATTCAGTATCATTATATTGTGTAAAGGATATTGTCGAACTATAATGACGTAACATTCTCAAGATAACAAAAAAATTATTTAGCTACCGCGACCTTATATCGAACAACGGTTTTCTTACGGCATAGATGATGCGAGTAAGTATGTATTGTACACATTAAAAAGGGCAAGAGGCATTATATTATACCAAAAACAATTTGAAACATAAGAAAATGGAACAAAAGTGAATATCTCTATCGAATTTTAGATCTATTGTCTGTAACTTCGTTGGAAAAAGAAATTGTGTTTATAAGAAAGTGTTTATTTAAAGAAAACTCTATCTCTTAATAATTTCGCCATTAAATAATACCGCGGACTGGCTTTAGTATTTAATTATGACGAAGTGCAACTTCCGCAATAATGAAAACTAAAAGAATTTGGAACAAGTTATTTTAATTATTTATTTTGGAATAGGACGGCTAAATAAATAATATTTAATTAACAATATAAAATAATGCCACTTGTTTATCTTTAACTTTGAGAAACTCTTACCTCCTCTCTTATCCTGCCACTGAATACCGTAACGGGTTCTCTCGTAGGACCAAATTGCAGGTCAGCTTCAGAAATAACATCATAAAGCCCAGAGACACCAACGTCAGCTGACCGTGCGTCACGTACTGTTCTGCGTTTCCTCAAAGACCTGGGGCCGGCAACAGCTGGACCTGGCTTTTGTGCTGGAACTACGGCTTCGTTTTTAAGATCGCCGAAGTTTCTTGGGCCGTGGGGGAAGCGTTCACGTTCGGTTAAGTCGGAGGGACGGTCCTGCAATGTTAAAAACATAAAATTAAGTCTCCAAGCAGTGACTGATAAATGCTGTTTTTGTATGGTTAATTTTTGGTGGTTATTAATTATAGTTTGCATGTTTTGTGTTGAAATGGGCAGGCCATATTGCAATGTGTATAGATAAAAGATAGACCGCCGAAGCCACCCACTGGTGACCTCCTGGAAAAAGAAACGTGGGAAGACCACAAGGCTGACAAGATAGTTAAGGTTTATGGGGAGAAATGGATGGAGAAGGCTAAGAACAGATCCAAATGGAAAGTTCAGGAGGAGGCTTTTACCCAAAAGGGGTCTATAATGCAGACCACAAAGAATCCTAAATAACCATAACAACGTAGATTAAGAGTATAATAACAAAGCGTACACCCATTTGATGTGTAATTTTTAATTGTGGAATTTAAGTGGCTTTATTTTTTTATGTTTTGCGTTGCGACTTGCGGACATACGACACAAAAATAAAAAGAAGAATAAGGTAAGAAGCGAGTAAATAAGACGAAAAACAAAAGTTGTAACTGTCTTACATTACGCTCTAAAACAGAAGATGCACTGATAAAAAATAGACAATAAAGACAATTATATGGAAAGAACCAAGAGGAAGAAGGGGGCGTCCTAAAAAAGGTGGATAGAAGAGTTAGCCGGAAGCGAATGGAGCAAGAAAGCCATGGAGCCACCTGTGTACCCTACACGGGTGGCTCCATCCTAACATCCTCCGATACTGAAGGAAGTTAGGATGTCGAGTAACAAGAAAAAAATATATTTACGAACGAATATAAACTGTATATCGTTAACAATTGTAAATATTGAAAATAAACGGGCTTCATAAGTTTTGACTTAAAGCGATTTATTGAAGCACAAAACACTTTTCAAAATCGAAAATCTTGCGGACAAAGCTATGGAACTTAGTAATATTTATAGAGTTGTTTAAGCAAAAGCGGCTTAACTGACGAATAATATCGTGTTTTTCATTTAAAACTTGCCTTGTTTTATACGTTTACTTTAAATTTACTAGAAACAATGCTTCATCAGTTAAAATTTGTATTAAAAAATTTTTCACACAAATTGAGGAAATTTTCTTTAAAATAATCCGTAACTCTGAGATAAGAATTAAGAAATACTTAGTTTTAATATTTGTAATGTGCTCTTGAATTGTAAAGAATAAATTTCAAGTCATAGATACATCAATGATGATAAAAAAGTACGTACAGTGAAGGGCCTAGCAAGCGCCGCAACCAGCTCCTCAACAGCAGACCGATGGTCGGACTCTTCTTCAATGACCGGCGCAGGCGCACGCTGTGGCAAGGACGCAGGTGCACGCTGTGGCAACGGCGCAGGCGCAGGCACCGCGTCACCTGACACTTCGTCACCGAACGCCTCCTCTAACGGGAGACGTTGGTGATCTTCCGCGAGACTCAACTCTGTGTCTTCCGATAACATATCGCTGAAAATAACATAAATTTAGTATTAACGATTTTAAGATTGACTTTGTGATGAGCTGTCATCAAGAACAGTTACCTAAAGTTCTGTGGGTTTAAAAACCGCAGGATTCAATTAGTTTTATAATTTACCAAACCCATAAAAACATTTTTGCATTTTCTTATGTGATGTTTGATAAAGAACAACTTTTTTATCCCTTTTCGGTAATTAACAATGCATCTAATAATTAATAATTTTAAATTATTATTATTATTACTATGTGGGTTAGGAATATTGTAAATAATATACATTATTTGTGTGTTGGAAATAAATATCTATATTCCTAATGCATCTTATATATTTTTTTAATTATAATCTTTTACTAGATAACACGGTGAACTTCGTATCACCTGCACATATTTGTATCAAAACTGAACAGACCAAAGAGATCGAACCTCACACTATGAAACACAAATTTCTGAAGGCATCATAAATTTCACCAAGTGATAATTTTTAATTTAAAAAAGCCAGCGTAATACTTACCCAATGTCATTGCGTTCCTGTTGTGACCTTTCATCTTTTCTATCCAATGCATCATGAGGTCCCGGTGCTATGCCCGCCAGCTGACAGTGGTCTAGGCAGCCGTGTCGACAGATCTCAACTTTGCACCGAATATGGACACTTAGTGCATCGGGAAACTTGAATGCGTGGAAGAAGGCATATGTGATCACTGTAGCCCGTTCATCAACTGCTTTAGCTTTGAGGAACCTGAAAGAAGAATGAGATATTTTCAAACATGGAATTAATTAACATTTATTTATCGATAATTATTGTATGTGATAATCTACAAACGTTTTTGGATAGCAATCTACAATAGGAATATTCTTATATCAGTACAGAAGAAGACGACAAGGACGACCATTAAAAAGGTGGGAGGATGATTTACCGAAGGAATGGCGAAGGTTAGCTAGAGAATGGACGTGATGGAAGATACTAGAAGACTCATGCAAAGGACAGCATTACGTAGACTTTTTTAATAAGAAAATATTTTTTTTAATAGAGCACTTTAGTTTCGTAAATAATGTATTTCTTTGAAAATTGTCAATGTAAAGAATCTTATTTTAACTTAGCTAGAATTATATAATAAATTATTTAAAATATAAAACACTGTTAAATTTCTTGATATTTCTTCTCGGCGTTCTTAACTAGAGAAATTTGCATTGTAAATATTTGATAGATTTACATTTAACAAATATATTAAAATTACCTGGATATCATTTTAGGTCGCAGCACACAGCCGTATTCATCTGACAGCTGTATAATATGCCCGGAGCCATCAGACGCTGCGCAAGATTTGACTCGCATATCGAATTCGCCTGTAATTATTTAATGTTGATTTAAATACCATTTGAAGCCCATGAAAATATATTTTACAATAATTAATCTATAGATTTAAAATTTAATACTTTAAACTTCAAATTAATAATTTTGTTACATAAACTTATTTTTCGATTGAACTTTAATGAAAAGGAAAATTATTTATCAAATATATAATTTTTCTTTTGGAGAATTTTACAAACAACTTTTTGTTTAAACATGAGTTTAAACAAAAAGTTGAATGGAATACATTATTTACTTAAGTTTCAATTACCATTCAAAAATCGTAGCCGATGAAAGACATTTTGGATATTTAAATGTTAGAGATGATTTAATTCACAAACTAATCATTTATTCGTTTTCAATTGAGTATTATGTATTTATTACTCATCAAATTATATTGCCTAATTCAATGGGAAACACTTAAGCACAGCACAGTTTAACGTATGTTTATTTTATAACCAGTACATAATAACGCGTTAAACCGCTGAACTTAAGTGAAAATAATTAGATGTGCAAACCACATTCTAGTCAGGATCACTAAGTACTTTGTGCGAACAAATAACACATTAAACAATACAAACTATGCTTTAGGCATTTGTTATTTAATGGTTATACTATTAAGGCAAATAAGCAAAAGCCTTGCCGATAAAGGTAGTTAAGTAAGAACAAATAAGATTTTTGAAGTTATACTTCTTTTGGCGCGTTAGGGAAAAATTATAAAAGTAAATTTTTACGATGCGCTCGCACACCGTCACAAAACCGACACCCTGAAGATAGCATAGTCAACATTTTAAAATAAAAAATGTCAATTTATTTGATTATGTAGAAATATTTTTTTTGTGATATTTAAATAAACTTTATTTAACTAGATAATGCGTAATAATAAAACTTTCAATGTATTAAATACCTTTTTTCTATTGTAAGTGTCGTTTTTTCTCTTAAAGTTTTTTATCTTGTTACGCCAAAGAAGTATAACTTTTAACTTGTTTACATAAGTTTGTAATTGGTTTTGTTCATATTAAAACATTACGTTAGAAATTTATGAGAAAAAGGAAACAATTTTTATATAAATGCATTATTTATTAGGGGTTGTAATTTTTAACCAACTTCATTACAAATAAAGACATTTAAGCATAGACAAGAATAATAAATTGAGCGAGGTAGTCAAATAATTTCATTAGTTGCGCACACTGCATACAGTCTGTATGAGTTCAGAAATCATCTATAGTCTACCTATGCTCTGTCAAAGATCAAAGTCACCTCAATGGCTGTTTAAGAAAAATGATCATTCTAATAGAGACAGAAATGTCTCTGGCCCATGCTATGGGGTTACGAGACTTTTCAATGCTCAATTAAATAATCGTGATTGATATGAAACGAGCGTGAGAAACTTGGAAGTAAATTAAGATTAATTATCAAACAGTAACGAACTCAATGGCATTCTTTCATTAGTTATATACATTTCTCTTGGCCTAATTACTGATTATCTACTCGAACGAGATTAGCAAGATGATGTGAATTTAAAGAAATATTATATATGTATATAAATATATAAGTGGATGAAGCGGATAAGTGGAAGATCCATGGTTTCTGCCTACCCCTTCAGGAAATAGTTTTTTTTATTTATTACAAAAATATAAGAAATTTATGTAACGGTGCATCGAAATTCATTTCAATACTAATACTTCAAAATAAAGTTAACTTAAGTAAATCAAATTTGCAAAAAATGTATAATTAAAATTAGATAGATTATTAGTATCGTACAAATAATATAAATTATTGCAAAAAAATTTATTCAAACAGTATAGTGAGTTTTGTTACTTTGTCAAAAACAATAGGATGGATGCTAGGAAGAAACTCGAGACTTTAAAAAAATAAAGTATGTTTATTATGGAATATAATATACAGGTATCACTTATTCCACGTCATTAATCTGAATCGGTAGACATCCTTACTCATCGGCAAAGAAGAGAGTAGGCCGACTGCCGAGAATACTTTTTTAAAATAGCAAATCGTAAGTTGGAACCAAAGCTGTGCACCAATGGATTTTCTGTCTATGTGCGCATTTTACACTTTATACGGAAGACATCGTGAGGAAATCAGCATGCCTTAGACTGAAAAGTCAACGGCGTCAGGCACAGAAACTTACTTGCCTTTTAAAAAAAAAGGAAAGATACAGAAATCAAAGGCCCAGGCCTAAAAAAGGTTGTACGCGGCACTGGTTTGTTTACTATGGTACACAATATAAATAATAATAATAAAATATTATCTTTGTTTTTCATTAAATTTGCTAAAATAATGTAAGTTTTATTTGTATCGTTTGTAAGTAGGCAAAGTAGATATCATATAAATTCACATAATAACCTAGTTGCATATACTGCGCAAGTATTTTTTACAACAAGTAAAGCCGTGCGAAAACTAGTATCACTTGCCGTTAAATAAACCCATTCGTATTTGTCCAGTAAACTTTTTACTATTCTTTGTACCGTTAGCATGTGTTTGCACAGTATTATTACCAGTTAGAAACGCTTTTACGACCGACCTGTCGCGAACAGTCTACATTGTCTGTGGCTTTATGTCATTTATTTACAAGATAGACCCACAACCTTGTGTAGGTTTCGTCGTATTACGTTAATTTTATAAAGCTGAAGATCTTGTTTACTTAATTAAACTGGCTAAAACCAATAACCAATTTATCAAGGAAGTATTCAGAGACAATTTTTGATTATTATTTATCGGAATAAAATAATTATTTAATCTGTAGTAAAGAGTAAAGTCTATTTTCATAACAACAATTTCCTATTTTTAATATAAGTTGCATAATTAACCGATTCTTACATTTCTTTAAAATGATAATTAATAATATTAGGAATAATCCTGGATATTATTCCTAATATCAATTAATCACCCGGTATGTAGGCTGTTTATGCAACCGTATCATAGATTCGCAATTAAGAAACATAAATATTCATTTAAAACATCTTTACTTATCAATACTGGACTAAGTGACAACTCAATCGACTATTTCTATTTTTAACCAATAGATAAACGTAGACGATTTAATTATTATTTTAAATAGTGTTTACAGGTAATTTAGTTTCGTTTACTAACTCCACAGAAAGTAGGTATTGCAATGCTGTTATATTAATGAATTACAGTTCGATAGGAGACAAATGAAAAGGTCATCAAATCTATATAAATAAAAATGAATAGCAAAATATAACATATTCAGCTAATTTCGAGTATATTGTATCGAGTACTTGAACTCTGAGAATTAAAATTAAAAAATTTAGTTTTATTTAGTACTTTAGAAATGCGAACAGTCTCAATGGGGTAGCAGAGCAAAATGTGCCATATGTTGGTTTGTAGCTACTAAAAAGGTAGGCTAAACAAAACAATTATGTTAAGGCGAAACGAAGTTCGCAGGGCACCAGTTTATGAATAAAAATTGTATGTTTCAGAACAGGATTTTGTTGAATAAAAACACTTTTTTGTTTGTCTGCGTATTACACACCTCTAAATCATCAAATTTAAAGCTTTTTTGTTAATTCCAATTAACTAATAAACTTAATTATTTAGTTTGGCAAGCAACCATCTGTAGCCTATTAGTAAGTTTTAAAGTCATAATTTAATGAGCGTTTTTATCTTAATTCTTGACCGTTAAGTGATTAACTGTTTCCCATAAACCAAAATGATGTCATTTCTATGTATACGTTAAATTCCAAGATAATTTTCACACGACCTGTGACATCGATGTTTGAACTATTGAAACATAATACTTTCTCAGAATTTCATAAATTATTGAGGTACGTTATATTCGATGGTATTTGATACTAAGCAGTGTTGGCCTAGTGGCTTGAGCGTGCGATTCTCATCTGAGGCAAGTTGGATCCCCGGCTGTGCACCAATGGACTTTCAGTTTTCACTCGAACGGTGAAGGAAAACATCGTGAGGAATATCATGTCTTAGACCCAAAAAGTCGACGGCGTGCGTCAGGGAGAAGGCTGATCACCTACTTGTCTATAAGATTGACACATGATCATGAAACAGATATAGAAATCTGATACCCAGAACTAAAAAGGTTATCACCCCACTTTTTTTCAATGTTATATAAAAAGATTTAAAATTTTAATTGAGACTATTTTTTTTGTTTTTAAAAAATACGCGTCCTTTATTTTAATATGTTGTAGTCAGTCAGCGGGTGCTGTAATACACTAGAAACGAATTAATTGAATAATGGACTTCACGTTTAAATCCGTTGTAGATGTGTGCGTGTGACCATAGACAATTTACGATTTGATAGATGGTTTAATACTAAAAAACTAACGGAACCTCAATAAAAATCTAAAGGCCTAAACGCGGCTAGTTAAGTCAATAATAGCATTTGTTATCGTTATTCAACACCCACTCAATCTAAAGCCTGTTATTCAAGGCGATTATAAATCTTAATAGTTAATGCACGCAATTTCGTCTGCGTATAATTAGGATAAAATATAGTCCTTTTTATGATACTATCTCAATTAAAATTAATTAATCCTCCTTAAAAATATTGAATACAAATTATTTTGCATTAAAACGAGATTTTACATGATGATTTCATTGGCATTATTTTATTTTAAAGTATAATTTAATTTTGATTTTAAGTGCATGAAGATCTTATAAGACTAATCTTTGTCATCAGCAGGGTGTTTGTACTAAAAAATACGCGTTGAATTGGAAATGTACGTTCTTATTTATTGAAATCAATATTATTTAAATTAATTATAATTCTATTGAAACCTGATTTATCCAGTGTCAAAATCAACAAATAACGTAATATTATATACACTTATAAAACCATTATTTGTATAGTATTAAACAAATGCAAATATCTTATTTCTCTCCCTTTGCAGTAGACTTTTGCGCCGTGGGGTTCGAGTAAATTAAAGATTTAAATTGTCCCCGGTGACCCCAGCTGGTGATTTCTTCGCTCAACAATTTTTAATTTATTTTAATTTTCTATTTATTCATTTTTAATTGATATCAAATAAACTTTTCAAACAAATATCTTTATACCGTATTTCGTTTTATATTAATATTTAAGTGACGTTACCGTACTAACTGATGGTGAGGAGTAAAAACCAAATAATAGCTGTCAATTATTACAGCATTAGTGCTTGGAAAACCGCAAATCAAAATTAATTGAAATAGATTGAATGGGTGTAGAGTTGTGAATCTATACAATAGTTCGCTTGTAAGAAATCTGAGGTCTAAGAGAGGTCAGCTGTCATTCAAACCCAGCTCCAGTACTCTGTGCTGTACCAGTCTGTCAGCTCAAGTCCCAAAAATAGTAATTTAATGTTCAGTGTTGTACATATAACTACAAAACTACATTGAGATTGCGTGCAAAAAGTCGGTAATGTTATTCGAAGTTACAAAGAATCTGCAACACTTCTTCGATCTTAGCCAAATTTTTTTAGATATGTGTATTGATGATTCCTTATAGTCAAGTCATCAGGTATCTCTGAAATGTTAACTGGGTCTAAGACATGCTAGTTTTATCTCAGTCCTTCATCGTATGAGAAAGTATTACGCAATTAAAACAAATAATAATAATGAACGCACTTTAAATTGAGAAACTTACGCTAAACAATTGTATCTAATTATGGATTAGATAAATATTCATATATAGTAGACATGTCGTATAAGTATATCCTTTTTTTTAAAAGTGTTATTGAACCGATTTAACTAGTCTCTTTTCATCATAGCGTAAACACAATGTGACAGAAAGAGAGGAAAAAGTAGTTTTTTATGAATCAAGCGGTTAATATGTAATAGGAATGTTTGTGACCACGCCTTCTATAAAAAAACAGTGGCGCTACAACCTTTTTAAGGTGTGGGGCTCAGATTTCTGTATCTGTTTTGTAATCATTTGTTTTTTATATTACGCAAGTAAGTGATCTGCCTTCTGTGCTGTCTCCGTCGCCGACACACTATGGCATGTCGGTTTTACTCAACAAGCAAGTCTGCACAGCCGGCATCGAACCCTTCCTAGGTTCAAGGATGGCACACTCCGACACTTTTTTGGGTCTAAGGTATGCCGGTTTCCTCACGATGTTTTCCTTCACCGAACGTGTGAGTGTTAAATGAGCAAGAAGCCACTAGGCCAAGACTGATACAAAAAATACATTCTAGCAATTTTGCATATACAACCCTGGTTTTGAAACCTACGGTAGTATTTAGTATACAACTATTTTACGCATCTTGTACTAATAACTTCAGGTATTGGAATTTAACCTTTCCCTGCATGCCGAGAACATTAATTGAGATTAGTTTAACACAGGTATTCAACAATTTCTAGAGGCGGAAAATTAACTCTAAATTTATAGTTGTGCAATGTTAATCTTCGCATATATTCATACTTTCTCGTTGCAACAAGACATCGTATTATCTGAACTTTCGTGAGGTTATCAAAATGAAAGTGCATAGCTTGCCCATTTGTCTTACAAAATTAGGTTATCATTATAACGCTTAGACCTTACTTAAAATGTATCGATTGGGGCATTTCACGTGAAGCGAACAGCAAAAAAAGTGTCGTGGAATTTGTTCAATCATACCTCTATGATTAAACCGAATATAAAAAAATTACCTATCTTCCTAACTAGTAAACATCGCACTATGAAACTCTACTTAAAATATACTTTGAGCTATTTTTTGGAATAAAAAAATTGGTCGATGTTTTTGAAAAACACATTTGAAACTTTTGCTTCTGGTCCAATCCAATTTTTTTTCTAATCAAAAAGGTAAAAGCAAGATCTAGATACGCATTGCAAAGCGCGATATTTATTTTTTTTCCCAATAGAAAATATACTCCAAAATAATCGGAATTTCAATTAGCATTATTTTGTAAATGGGCCATAATTTGACAACTAAAACACATCATAAGAAAATGTTTTACGTATTTGCGTTCATACTAACTTGAGGTATCATTACTACTAATATTTTTTTGCTTCACATATTAAACCTTATCTCACGTTAAAAAAAAAATAATTGCATTTTCTAGCTCGTAACTACCATCTGGGAGTAATTAGTTTTGTTAGTGATATTTTAATAAACACTTAAATTAGCAAAGTAAATACCTATTTCGACTTAAAACTATTTCTTTAATAACAATAACAGTTCATAACAAAGCTTTCTCATGATTATAAAATTTTGAAAGGGGTTAGAGTTTAATCATTACATACAAAAATACATTGTATGTCTAATTAGTATTAGTATATATTAAGACAAAATACGTACCTCGATAATCGTTAATGGCCACCACGAGAGTAAGCGTGGAACCTAGCGGCACTATTCCAGAAACTGGAGCCGCCCAAGGTCCTTTACCAGCTTGTATCTCCATCCAACAGTCCACGTTGTCACCTGGGAAGGTCATATGTTAAGATTTATTGATAAGATCTTAGCCAAATAAGCAATAGTCTTCATTGAATCATTTATGTAATCTTGCTACTTTATCATGTTACTTGTATTTTTTTATGCAACCGGGCAACGGACAGGAGGCTCATCTGATGTTATGTTATACCGCCCATGGACACATTGCCAGAAGGCTGGGACCCTTCCCAGCCTCCTTGCCTCTTCAGCCTTGGACACAACGATTCATTTAATACCTTATGATGGCTAATCAAATTTGATTTAAAAATTGTTAGGACAAAATTAACCAGTTAAGACTATAAAGAATACTATTGAAGGTCTAGTTTACCAATGCGCTGAGATTCTACCTTAAGTTTATTTTCATATTATGATAAAAGCCCATACAAATAAAAATCCTACATATTGTCAAACGGATATTAAATGTCTTGGATTGTGTGTTTTTTTTAGAACAGGGGGCAAACGGGCAGGAGGCTCACATGATGTTAAGTGATACCGCCGCCCATGGACACTCTCAATGCCAGAGGGCTCGCAAGTGCGTTGCCGGCCTTTCAAGAATTGGTACGCTCTTTTCTTGAAGGACCCTAAGTCCTTAATTTACTGAATATTTAATTGTTTTTGAATGTATGACAGAAATCGAAATGAAAATATAATATCAAACGTCTTTTCTATAAATTGCTTAATTTTATACCAGTTGAAAAGCCATAATTGTAATGTGTTTATTATCGCAATTACCACTAATTATATATAGCCCAACAGTAAGCCACATGGGGTCCATGCTAATAATATTTTGCTTATACATAATTTATATTAACTATACTATACAATAACTATGCGAGCGTTTCTCGATCCCAACTGATGGTTAATAAAATAGTTTCAACTTGAAGGAACAAATATGTTATAGAATAAAACTCTGTAATTGTTAAAGAAATTATATATATTTGAACTAATGAAACGAGTATATATATATATATCATTCACAATCGGGCGGTCAACATCGTAACATGCGGTGACAATCTCTCCGCATTTTTTTATTCCTTTTCGAAGTCTAAAGTACAGTTCCATGTCTGAATTTAGCAAAATAATGTGTGTAAAGTTCAATTAGTGTCGTGTATAACTCAATTTAATAGAATTAATAGTGCAGGACTGTGTTTTTGTGTTGATATTGGTAAACTGTGAAATCATAACATCATTCATTGTGACTCCATGACACTCGATCGTGCGTGACTCGGCCTAACGCGTAAGCGCCGCTAACTGCACGGCGCTTAAGCCCTTTTCGACGAGAGCTCGCCTCACCGTGCTTCGCCGTGTACTGTGTTCCAACTACTTAGCGTTGGATTGTTTTTAGCACATATTAAGAGTTATCTACAAGGAATAATGGCTAAGAACTGTGCCGGTTGTAAGGCCGCTGTCACTGGCAGGGAGTTCATGAAATGCTGTATCTGCTGCTTGGTTTATGACTTGCATTGTGCGAACGTTTCCAGTAAGCGATTTTATCTAATGTCCATTGAAAATAAGCAGTCATGGAAATGCTTAGAATGCCGCAGCTCGGAACCTAAAACGGATAATACAAATACCCCTATTCGCCCGGGCACAGTAGCATCGAATGATGCGACTAACGTCACCTTGAGAGACGGTAATAAAAATAAGAATCGTCGCAAAAGCTCTGACGACTTGCCGAGTCTTGAGCACAGTGTGATGTCCAATGATACTCTGCGTGCCATCGTTAGGGAAGAATTGCAGGAAATGTTTCAGTCTTTCTTAAAAAAATCTTTAAATGAGATCGTATCAGAGGCGTTCAAAAATTTCAACGATAAGATCTCTTCACTCGAATCTGCGTTGAAATTCTGCAACTCTCAATTTGAGGACATGAAGAAAATTTTTGAGGACAATGTGAGCACGATCTCCTTGCTACAAAAGCAAAACGAGACTCTTCAATTATCAGTAAATGACCTCACCAGTAGACTAGCGTTGGTGGAACAGCATATGCGCGAGGCGAACGTTGAAATTGGCGGACTCCCTGAGCATTCTTCTGAGAACTTGGCAAATACTGTGGTGCAATTGTATAAGCTGGTAAAACAACCCTTGGCCGAGGGAGATGTGCTGCAAGTGACTCGAGTAGCGAAATTAAATAGGGACACTCCACATCCTCGCACCGTAGTAGCGAGGTTCCGCAGCCGAGCTGTTCGAGATCGTCTTCTTGCGGCCGTATCGAGTTTTAATAAAGCCAACCCGAAGGAAAAGCTTAACTCCCACCAACTGGGATTGGGCGGCGCAAGGGTTCCTGTTTATGTCTCTGAGCATCTGAGCCCCACGAACAAGCATCTACATGCTGCTGCTAGGCGCAAAGCTAAAGAAGTTGGTTTCAAGTTTGTTTGGATTCGTGATGGTCGCATATTTGCAAGAAAAAACGAGACCAGCCAAGCTGTTTGCATTCGTAGCTTGGAAAGTCTAAAGCTTATTAGTTAATTACTTCCTGACCATACATTTAAACAGTTCTATGGATCCAATGGCAGGATTAAATATTTACTACCAAAACATTAGAGGTATGCGTACGAAGACAAATGCAATTCGTCAAGAAATACAAAAACATGATTTCGATATCATCATAATGACGGAGACGTGGCTTGTGCCTACTATATGTACTTATGAGTTTATTGACCGACGATATACTGTCTACAGAAGGGACAGAATACCGATGGACGGAGGTGGTGGCGTGCTTATTGCTGTGAAAAATACCATTAAGTCTGTACGAATGCAAGCATGGGAAACATCATGTGAGGACATCTGGGTCCTGTTGGATATCGAGGCACCTCACTCAAACGTGAAAAGAGTTGGAATTTGCTGTCCCTATTTTCCTTATCCAACGAAGGATATTCTAGAATGTTTTTGTGCTAATGCAACGAGTGTCATACAGTCACTGGATGCAGTAGTAATTGCTGGTGACTTTAACTTGCCATATATATCTTGGTCTCGTGTTGACAATCTTGATACTGTCCTACCAACAAATTATGAATACCCTCTTGGATATGCGTTGGTAGATTTTGTTAACTTAAATAACTTAAAGCAATTGAACTATGTTAAAAACTTTAATAATAGAACTTTAGATTTAGTATTCACAAATGTGGCTAACGCAACACTCGAGAGGCCAGTGGATCTTTTAAGTAAGCTTGATGCTCATCACCCTCAGTTGTTTGTTGTTCTGGATTTAACAGTCGCGTTTCTGCCGAAGTTGCCGCACATTGGTTTTAATTTTTACCGGGCTGATTATTCGATGATATTTAAAGAGTTGCGTGGGATCGACTGGCGTCTCGTTTTCTCTGTGACAAATTTATAAATGATATAGTAGATCATGTTCATTATAGTGAATGTTCATTGTTTGCCGATGACATGAAATTGTTTAAGACAATAACTTCAACGAATGATATTGCTCTATTGCAAAAGGATTTACTTGCCATACACACTTGGTGTAAAAATAACCTCATGATTTTAAATGCTGGTAAATGCTTTCATATAAAATTTACTAGGAATAAAAACTTATTCCAATCTTCTTACTCAATTAATGGAGTTGCTCTTGAGGAGGTTGATCGTATACGAGACCTTGGTGTGACGCTGGATAGTGCTCTCAGTTTTACTCCTCACCACGAAATAATTATTAGCGAAATCATTTCAGATGCTCGGTTTCATTAGGCGTAATACCACTGTCTTTAAGAATGTTAAAACTCTTATTACTCTGTACAATGCATTGGTGCGCAGCCACCTTGAGTACGCTAGTGTTGTGTGGAATCCCACATACCAAACACACAAGTATGCACTAGAACGTCCTCAAAGAACATTCACACGGTTCCTGGCGTACAAAACCCCTAAATTTTGCTACAGAAGGGATTATGTTGATCGATTACAGAAGTTCAATTTGCAAACTCTCGAGGATCGTCGTATGATTGTGGACCTGGTGTTTTTGTACAAGTTGATGCACGGCACGATTATTTGTCCAGATATTTTAAAAAAGATTTACTTCGTAGTGCCTAGAATCAACGCAAGAAGAAGACAGACTGATACTTTTGTCGTTCCACAGTCCTTAACCAATCTAGGTAAACATGCGCCCCTCAGTAGAATGCTTAGGAATTTTAACCAATGTAGTTGTAGACATAGTCTTGACGTGTATTATGACTCACTTCCTAGTTTTAAGAAGAAAATTCAGTCATCTCAGCCATAAGTCATGTAATATTTACCACGTTTCAATTTATCTATGTTTAAAGATACAAATACTTAAGTAAACTCTGTCCGCTTTCATTTATTAGAGTCAATGTTGTGTACACCTATTATTAGATTGCATGCTAGAACAAAACCCAATATTGTTAATTAGAAAATATATACATGTAATCTGTTGGTGTTCCTTAATAAATAAATAAATAAATAAATAAATATATATATATATATGCGTTTTATGTTTAGACAGCGAGTTCTTGAATTTATAGTTTTGTGATTTTTTAAATTTTGTATTAATGGTATTCATTATGTTTTCTTTTTGTATGGCCCTTCAACCACCAAAGTTTAAACACCTCAGCGTTTGTTTATGTACCCTTAGTGTATTTAGTTTATGCAATAAAGAAACAATAGACTAGAGAAAAAAATATTTTATTTAATTTAAAGTAAATAAAGCTAACATTTACATAAAACTTTTTTTCTTTTTTATAGAACGGGGGTCAAACGGGCAGGAGGCTCACCTGATGTTAAGTGATACCGCCGCCCATGGACACTCTCAATGCCAGAGGGCTCGCGAGTTCGTTGCCGGCATTTTAAGAATTGGTACGCTCTTTTCTTGAAGGACCCTAAGTCGAATTGGTTCGGAAATACTTCAGTGGGCAGCTGATTCCACAAAGTGGTGGTGCGCGGCAAAAACTGCCTTGAAAAACGCTCAGTTGTGGAACAAAACTGTATATAAAGACCTATCCTTTACCATATTTCGTTTGTTTACAAACTCGATATAAAACAAATAACATCCTATACTATGATAATTATATAACATACCTCTGAAATCTAACTGCACGACATCCAAGTCAGCTATCACCATAGGAGGTTTCGAAGCAGTCTTCTCATAGTCGTTGAACCATTCACAGCGCAACCTTTTGGCCTCATCCCACACTTCCAGCAGGTCCTTGTCATACTGAACCACTACTGTATTTTCGTAGAACTGGCCATGTAGGTCTGGAAATTAAAAAAATTGTTAATGTGTACATTATTAAAAACAATAATTTTTGACTTTATATGCTATCCAACTAGGCGGCGCGGTGGGTAATTTGTATTGAGACTCGCCATATTGGCCCAAGTGAGAGACGAAAATTCACTCTTTTATTCATAAGCCTCATACTCCGTGGGGATGGATGTTAGACGTGATCTGAATATCATGAGCTGGCATAGAACTTCAGTGATTTTATGTTTTTAAACTGTTCCTAAATAAATATTTTATTTGTTTAAACTGTGCATGGACATATACCATTCAAATTTAATCACAGAAAAATCTAAAGCAACTATTTAATTTTGAGATTTGAAATATGATCTGTAGTCGAACATGCAAAGGAAGTTAAATACTCTTAAGCTATAATTAATTATATAACGATTAAATTTAGGCAAAACAAAATTGATACTCCGGCATTCTATTTAGAATAGATTATAAAACTCTTTAAAATCGGTATACTATGTAAGTATAAATAATACAGTTTAATACACAAATAAAATTATTGTTACATCTACTACGCGAACGTTAGACATCCCACTCATTATTACATATCTAGTTAAATTAGTGTAATCTTGTTTCATACTAAGATCACATCTTTATTACGCCCTTCTCCATGAAACGATCGTCAAATACATGTTTTAATTGCCACTTTGCTACGATAAAGTAGCGGCTTAACATAATACCCGCACGTTATGATGTTATTTCATGTTAAAAGATAATGTATGTCTCAATAGTTTAGGTGTTCTTATACGTATAGATGGGGGATAGGTGACAACATTTATTAGTTTAGTGAAACGATAGGATACTATACTTTCGGTAGGAAAACATGTTTGAATAATAAAAGGCTTTGTAGTGTACTACATCCAGTTGACTTTTGGATCATACATATGATTTTTTTTTATTTAATTACAATAATTAACTGCTGTAACATGTGATTAGGAGTATAATATATGGGTTGTTGGTGCTTACAAACATTTTGTAAAAACAAAATTGGCGATTTAAAAGAGTGACTGAGAATTTACTGCCAGTTCTTCTTGTCCTTTCGACTCATTTGATTTGACAACTGTCAGATCAAATGGAGTGGGATCAATGGGATTGGAGTTTTAAGGGTAAAAAACGGTTTATCTTGATTTCCGGCAAAACTAAAAGTCCTATCGAAGAAAGTTAATTGGCAAAGTTGTAGGTAATAAAAAGATCTAAAACTTTTGTATTTACACTTTTTTCACATAACCTCAAAATTTATGTGAAAAATTCAAAAAACCAAGTTTTTGGTTTTTTATTTTTATCTTTTACAAAAAAAAATTTTATAACGAAATTTGGTCTAAACTTACCTTTCTATGTCCCAAATACGCTGTAATTTATTTGATTAAAAATATTTATTTTTTCACCTTATTTTAAATTAATATCGAAAAAACACCCTAATTGTAGGCTAAGTAAAAAATCATATTAAGGCGAAACGAAGTTCGCGGGGGTTTGTAAAATAAGTGTTAATTTTTAAATCTTGATTATTGCTAGGACTATACGCGGTTGAACTTGAACAAAAACTTGAATACTTCTGAAGAACGCGGATTGACTGGCTTTAAGCGATTCTGACACTTATGCGCATTAGATCTACTTACAGGCCTGATATACATTCCGTTTAATTACTACTAGTATAGTAAGTATTAAGTAACATTTTATTTGTTTTGTATCTTTCTTGAGGACTAAAACGTCATCATTATCAAGAAGGCTTTTAAGCTAAAACACAAGCACCAAACATTGCATAGTATAAAAGGGATTTTTTACAAATTACATAAACAACATGATTTATTACATGTAATTTCGTTAGAGATACCTAAGCCCAGTGAATACTAAGCGTTACGTGCTAATTCAGTGAATACCATTTTATTGAACTCTCTATACTTAGTAATAGAATGTATTTTGCATTGCCGTACCAAACTTATGTGCGAAGTTGTAACATGACGTCTGCAGGACCCGATATAGGGTTGTTCACAATCCTTAAAGTATAATTAAGTTCATATGTCCTTTAATTAATGTTATGTATATAAAAAAATAATATGTTTGAAAGAAATATAGGAGATAAATATATGATGACTAAAACTCCAATGTGTTGCTGAAATAATTAAAGATTTATTCTAACCTTAGTTTTAAACCAAATATCTTAGACTTATAATTAACCAAAAAACATATACATACATGAATACAAGCAAAGTAATGAAAATAACGAAATGAAATAATTATGGAATGAAATTTAGATACTGTTATTTCTTTAAAGTCCGTCAAAACATTATTTAATCAAATTCCTCCAAAATTAAAATCCAAAAATATTGTAACAAAAATACTTCAAGTGGCAAGTTTAAACTAGCGTCGTTTCCACAGACCAACAAACTCTCTTCGAGATGAATTTCGAAGAAACATTGATTTATCAACTGCGTGCAATTGTTTAATTCAATTAACAGGTAACCCTACTAAAGTGGCAGTTTCAGGATTGGCGTCTCCAAGTCGCGTTATAGAAAAATGTGCCTTGCATGCAATGTGGCTGAGCGAGTGGAGATTCCAAGAAACAATGCGTGTATAGCATTCGAAGAGGGTTTGCCGTTAGACAGGCCATAGTGGAACTAGGAATCGCCAAGAAAAACTTCGTACTTTGTTGAAATGAGACCGACGCACCGTACGAGCTGGATGGCGATTTATTGCAAAATTCTCAGATAATTACCCAAGTTAAGTGAATAATATGTATTGAATTGGCTCTTGTTAGTCAAATAGAGTATTAATAAGCTATATTAATAATAATAATATTCGCTTTTTGGGATTTAATAGTAATTAGTTTGAGTCAGCGAAATATGCTTTTGACATTAATATACGGCATGTGCGAATTAACATTAATATTTTTTAAATAAACACGTATAAGCAATTAAAAAAGAACCATTAAAAGCTTCTTAATCTGCTACTTTATGAAAAAACAAAATTCTTTACTCTGGCAACAGAAGACTATAGTCGTAATTCGCGCGTTTTTGTTGCCAAAATGCGTTTTCCTTAAATTCCCAACGGCGATAAAGCGTGAATAACGTTTATATATAGTTTTAATGTCGATGAGAGAAAGTGCTATTTTCAACGGAAAAGGTTAACATTTAAAATACCTTTAAAATGATTTCTTTAATGGCTTTATCGTGAAACAGAACGCAATTGTTTATGTGACCTTTCTCATGGGGCTTTTTGTAAGTGATTATCCGCTATTATGTCCCCGTATGGAGCATTAATAGGGTGATGTAATAATTAAAAATAAATTGGCCTCAGCAATTGGATGTATGCAATTGTAGTTCTTGGCAAAAACAGCTCAAATGCTAATTGTTGCTTTTTAAATTAGAATAACAATACTAATGATAAGAATTTCTATTAAGGTACACCTATTAGTTTGTACACTGGCTCAGTTCACAAGAGTTGCTTGCTATATTATTAGTTTTTTTTTGGAAACTCGCTGTTGGCCTCAAGCGCCTTTACAGTTCAGCTCGGGCTGTTTAGGCGAGATTTATTTTTTAATTGGCAATGTTGATTGGATTATCCGGATCCGTTAGTACATGTCGGGGCCTCCTTCGGTCCTTTTTTGTAGAGAAGGAGTAATAATTGATGCTTTTATTGTTAGTTATTAGATTTAGGTATATTAATATAATTTTTTAATGTATTTTAATCGGTGTAGGTATTATTGTGTCGTTCTATCGTATTAGTAGTAACTGTATATATAATAATGATGTGGAAATAAATAAACATTAATGGGCCAAGAGGTAGAGTCGGTTGTATCTGTCTAAGTAATTTGATCAGCCTTCTGGGCCTGACACATGTTTTAAGTGTAGTGTAGAGCTAAGTCACCTGCATCATGAGCACACCCGACATACACACTCTCACGTACAAACCCTTACATTTACACCACCATACAACACAGCCACAGTGTTGTGTGATGGTATTTATTACTTAGTTAAATATTATGAATAATTTATATTTTTCAATTTTATTTTGTGTTCCATCTTTGGATATATCTTTAGTGTAATTGTTTTTTATTATTTATAATTAATGTTAGCTGCTGTATTACGAAATAAATAATTTAACACAATTAGTGCCACGATACAAATGCTCAGGTACATAAAGTTAAGTTAGGCTAATAATATGTCTGGTCTATATTAAATGTTATATACAAAGCATACCGTTAGTAAGCCTTCAAGAAGACACTAACTATTGTATTGATACATCATTAGTAAAAGATAAAAATAACGCATGAAACATGCGTGTTCTCAAATAGCTTTTAAAACGGAAATGGCGCAGTGGAATGTGGCTTCGCTAGCGTTTTCCATTCATTTGTCATATAAATTATGCACTAAGTGGCTGCTTAAGATGGGAGTACACTGTAATAATTGAATGAATTCGACATAACGGTTGACAAATATATATAGGCGATTTTTATCTGATTGTTTACAGACAAAGAACTAAAAGCATCTACAATAGAACAATTAATTTATCCCTTTTTCCGTTTTGGTTTTAGATCCTAAATTTGACGGGACAGTATAAATTTAAGTAAATAAAGCTGGTTGGTTACCATGGTTACTTCTTTTATAAAGCCTAGACATAGTAAACCGACATATTATAAAGCATAAATTATATAAGTTTTGTTAATATTTTAGAAGTGTATTTTTTGCAACTGATGCGTACGCAGCTTTATTAGCCACCCAAGATACAATGGGCCATGGCTATTTCTTCGGATGTTACGATGTTAATGTAGTGTTTTATTTGCTTATATACAATATAATTAATATTCATAAACATATTGAAATAATGTTAGATTTGTTATTTTTTTTTAATGGAATCTCGCTTTGCCTTATAGTTTTCCCGCGACTAGCGCAAGGGCGTCTCTTGCGAGACTCGTACCTCGGCTTGGGCCGTCGCGGGGTGGTCAATCGCCAGAAGGGCAAGACTGTCCACGCCTTCCCCGGTGAAGTCGGTTTTTTACTGCTACTTTTAATTTGTCATAAGCTATCGTGATTGGATCATCCGGATTCGTCAGGACATGTCGGGGCCTCCTACGGGTATTTTTTGTCGAGAAGGGGTAATTGATGCTTGCACCAAAGGGTTGAGATGACGTTTAGCCTTGTCGTAGTGGCGTGTGGACGCCAGCTTCATCCATAGGGCTATGGTAGGGAGCTCCAAGTCGTGGTGGCCATCGACATCCCTGACGTAGAGTGGAGGGCCTGAAGCCGGTGGATATGGGAGGCACAATGCGCGAAGACTACGCTAGCGTAGGTCATGCACGGTCGGATGCAGGCCTTGTACAATTTCACCTTATGTCTAAGAGACATGTGACTCTTTTTATTTAGAAGGAAATAGAGGCGAGAGAGGACAAAAGAGGCTTCGCTAACGGTGGCTATGTGCTTACGGAAATACATGCCGCTATCGAGTATTAGCGAAATAGAATAGAATCGAAATAGACAGTTATTTTATGTTATAAACGCGCCTTTATCAGATAAAGTATATTTTGTATTAAGACTAAATTGAACAACAAAGGATTCGATTTTCAAATCTAAACTTAGACTAACTAATATTTTATATACAGAAGACGTATTATTTTACGATTACTTTAACGAAATTTAAATAAAGAACGAAAATCTTTATAGAGTTTCAAACCTTACACGACTTGCTGCTTAATTGTGTAGCAATTCCCCTTTCAATAGAAGGAAATAATCATGTACGAATGTGACAGATATAATAACTATGCCCCGAGTCCCATTGACAAGAAACTCATGACCTATGAATGATAGAACAGAAAATTATCTATCATTAATCTATTGACTATGCACTTTTCGCGCGGAATGTCAAGTAACAATTCCTTGCTAAAAACGAGTGTACATATTGCGTATATACATAGATGTTGTAGCTATAAGGTATAAAGGCCCAAATGATCTATTTAATAATATTTCTATAATTAAGTGTTATAATTTTAAATGTGACACTACCTCGCGATGTATAGGTTCAAGCTGATATTGTACATTTAGAAATGCTTTAGTTTCCAGCCGGGGTTCAAACTCACTCTGGGTTGAAAGTCGACTAACTACTAAGCTTACACTGATTTCGTCTTATAGCTTAATTAAATGAAAAGATTTTAAGAAAACCTCATTTGAGAAGTTTCCTTTTTTAACTAATCAGATACTTCTTTCAGTGTTATAGCAATTTATTATTTATATTAGACGCTGTTTTTGATTTCAAAATAATTCAAAAGTACTGAAATTTTACATTTGAATGTATTTTGAAGGTATTGTGACAAGTAAAGTATACAATGATTTACATTGAATTATAGTTACACAACTGTCTCAATATTTCGAATGCTATAACAAAGGACCAGTGAAAGTGCAAAAAAGAAATCGTTTTTTTTTAATATAAAATAAATAAACAGTTTTATTAATGTTCTGAATTTGTTTTTGCAATAAGAAAACACTCTTATCATTATTTTACATCGTAACCATGGTAACCAATACGTCTCTAGTCCACGTTTTATAAAAAGCCGTAAGTATACATAAGATAATATACAAATTCTTACCAGGTTTGGTGCCGCACTTGGCATAGGCGATTCTAAATGAGAAGTAGGTTTGGCCTGTGGATGGCGGCACGTAGACACATCGAGGATCACCGTGCTGACCTGGAATCAAGTATAAATAACATTGTATTATGTACTTGCATGTGCGTGGATGAACTTGAAGTGACACGTATATTAATCTAAATCTAGACGTCGGTAGCTTTCTCCATCCTGGTAAAATATTATACTGAAATTTGTGGTCTTGTAATATAATATTTTAATACTTTAAAAAATCAAGTATTATAAGTGAGCTAGAGTTAGATATGCACAATTTCTCCTATCACACTTTGAAATACATTTTCGTTTAATTTTATAATTTTTATTGACGTTATGTTTACAAGTCGGTGTCACATTAAAACTTTTTACTTCATGTACTAATGTATGAGTGTTCCGAGCGTTGGCAAGGTTTTGTAAATAAAATAAATTAAAAGTTAACTAGTTGACGGTTAATTATTCAGTAATTAAACTAAGCAGCTTAAAATACAAGTTATTAACCAAAAATGAGCTTGATTTACATATTACTGAAAATTCAGGGTCACCAAATTTCTATCCACTATCAGTTTATTGTTTTGTGGTACACTTTTTATTGCGATAGAAAGTAAATTTAAATAAAGAATTTTTTAATTTTATCTTTCATGAATGTATTTAATTTCACCTCCACATTGACACCGAATGATGTCACGAGTACTGAGTAAGTCCCAAGCAAAAATTTTATTCTTATTAAATTGGTAATTTAGAAATATATGAATGTTAGCATTCTATCAGCTTATTCTCAGCATCTTCTATTATACAACAGACATACAATTCAGATTTTGGTTTATTTTTCCAGAACTGATAAAACAAATATTATTTGTGATGAGGTTTCAACAGCTAAAGGAACTATATTCTTGTTCATTACATGACGCTAATAATTACGACGATTTATAATTTTTATTTCAAAAATTAATTAATATTGTTTTAACTCAACGTATATTAAGTTAAAGGCAGAAACAGAGAACTTGATTGCCCTATGTGTTATATGAATTTTAAGATAGCTACTCTTTTACCAACAAATTGAATGTTGCTTTATTGTATTGAAATATTAACAATCAATATTTCTAACATATGTTCACTGTGCCTACGGCTGTTTGTGGGTGGGCTAACGATATGAATTATGGCGAGAAAATTCTTGCCTTAATTTTAATAACCCATCCGGTAATACACTATCATCACTACACTTGATTTTAATTATTTTTGATAAATGCAATCTATTGATTACTATTTTAATTTAATATCTTTAACCAGATAAAAGAAAACTTCATCCAAAATTATTCTTGTGTTTAAATGCGGCGAGAGTTTTTTTTTATTAACTTACAATATTATAATGTGTTTGAAATATGAGAAATTATCAATGAATCTTTAATTAGGAATCGTTATATTAGGAATAATAGAAACTTTTAATAAAATTTGTTTTGAGCCATTTTACGTTCCATAAATTCATTTTACCCTCGGTCATTGATTGGTCAACAAAATTACGTACAGTTAAGAAAAACGGTGAAATGAACTTAGAGAAAGTATATTTTCACGCAATTAACGGTCCTATGCGAGTTAATTGTTAATTAGCCCTGCCACGCACGCCACAACGATCACATAGAATATACATAATGTATGTTCTATATAACTTTTACGGTACATAATATATACACATCAATCTGCAATTTAGAATATTTATAGTTATAGTATTTAAGTCTTTAGTAAGTGTTTGAAAGCTTTACGTACTGTTTCAATTATCCTCACTGACACGCAATGACTTTTCACGTATTATGTACTACTTATAAATGTTTATTTTCACGACCAGCACGTGAAGGTCGCTCAAAACTAAGTGCCATGGAGACTTGCAATTATATTATTGGAATAAATCATATTATATTTGTAAATTTTTAAATAAACTAATAAGTAAAGAGATAGGTGAAAAAATAAATTTAAAAGGTCACTAAAGACCTTTAAATATGTCTCATAATATTTAATGATTGACTACGTCTGGCCATAACATATGACTTAGAAGCGTGGTAAGCTTTTGAATTTACATACAATTATATGTGTCATAGTTAAATTTGAAAAGCTTATCTTTAATTAATCTCATCGTTCAAAGCGTTATAGAACAGCAATGGCTCGTACTGTCCTACAACGTATACAGACCGACACTAATTATTGCTTCTAATTACACAGTTTTCACTTACTTATGAACGAAAAATCAAATACGCTTGTTTAACGAAACTATTATAGTTATATTGTATTTATCAAAATAAATATTGAATTGTCATATACGACATTGATATATTATTGTATTTAAAAATTAAACTGGTCAAAAGTCATTAGATAGTCGAAGACTCCGTCAAGCCGAAGATAAAATTCCGAGATAATAGTTTTGAATTCTGTCGCACGAATTTGATGGTATTGATTATGCAGGAGTCTTGGGGGACCTTCATTAGAACACCTCCGAGTGATTTTTGCTGCCGGAAACCCGTCTAAGTATTTTTTTAAGAAATAAGTTTTGTGTAATGTATTATTGAAGTATTGGAGGTGTTCTAATGAAGGTCCCCCAAGACTCCTGCATAATCAGTATCATCAAATTCGTGCGACAACATTTAAAACCCAACCCAATTCCGATACCATAGTGCGTTATTTTATTAATAATAATAATTTTATTCATAACAACACATAGTTATGACGAAATTGATCTGACGCTCCGCACGCTGGAGAGATCCCGTATTATGGATACTATGGGTACTTATGGAGGGTAATTTGAAAATAAATCGGTGTTAAACCAACTAGCGTGTGTTTCACTACAACTACAGCTCTTCCGTAGTGTTTTGGTGTGTAGGTGTTTAAAACAAAAATGAATACAGAGTAAATTCTTTATAACGTCATTCGTTATAATGAAATGATAATTATTTACATTTGTTGGGTTTAACACAAAGCCCATACATTACTACAGTCTTTATAACGCAAAACTAACTTTTTAAGGTGCCGAAATTTGTGCCACGTGTGCTAATATTCTTAGATTACATCGCCTGTAGGAAATTTTGGTCTCAGTTACTAAACGCCACCTATCGTGTATTTCGCCAGGCAAAGTTAACATAATATATGTGTTTAGAATAAATTACCTATTGATAGTAATAAAATTAGATATTATTGTAATTGGTTAAATTGGTTTTTTTCTCATCTCTCCCTATAACGACATAATGTAAAACATAGTCCGTTCCATAGTTAAATTCGTTATAAAGAGTTTTCACTGTATATATGTATTAATGACGCATCAGAACGTTAATTCTACCTTTTGATGAGACAATGCCCTCGAATGGATGTGAAAATGTCAGGTGTACGTCCATGTGATCCTTTCCACACATCACCTCCAGCGATTGTATCACAGGCATGCCATCCGGTCGCTCCGTAGGCCAGAGCTCGCCAGCGCGAGCTTTAGTCTGGAAATAAATATTGCAATGTTAAATAAAGGATTTTATAATTATATCAAATCGTATTACATAGGGTCTAACAAAAACAAAAGACTGTTAGACTGACAATCTCTATATATATAAAATTCTCGTGTCGCAATGTTCGTTCTCATACTCCTCCGAAACGGCTTGACCAATTATTATGATTTTTTAATGCACATTCAGTAAGTCTGAGAATCGGCTACTATCTATATTTCAAACCCCTAAGTTATAGGGGGTGTCCACCACAAAAGATTTTTTTTGTTTTTATTATTTTATTATACAGCATACAAAAATACATACAACCCCGAATTTTCACCCCTCTACGATCAACCCCTATTTTTTATTATTGTAGGTAGTTATTTTTATTGAACTAAAAAAATGTTTCCTAGAAATAATATACATGGCAAAACAAACGTTTGCCGGGTCAGTAGTAATGTTATATAATTGGAAAATGAAGGTAGGTAAAATAAAACTGAATTTCTGTTTGAAAGCAGTCGGTATTTTGGGGTCAAATAATCCGCGCTTCCTTAAAAAACCAAACGTTTTCAATTTGGTTTAATTGCTTAATTAGTTTAAATCGAAGTTATTAACTTTTCAATATACAAAGCTCAACTGCGCGTTTATTAAAGGTGAAAACCGTCTTAGTTGGACAAGGAAAATTTCACAAATTAATAGCCATGGTAGAGTTACAAATCATCGTTTACTTTCAAGTAATTATCAAGAAAATGTTGACTTGTCTGGAGTCTGGACGAAAACAATTTGATGAATAGCGATCTTAAGTTCCAGGAAAAACGGGCGCACGTTCCCACGCAAGGGAATTTGCAATGTGAGACAGATATACATTGTTATGAATTTAGAAAGAGAAAGCTAAGCAATTTACATTTTTGAAGGAAAAAATTGTACTGCCCATATTAAATTTTATCTTGATCGTATTTTGTTATGGCCGCCTGAGTCTGCGTGTAGCAAAAAGTGGCCTATGTCCTCCACATTTCCATATTTCATATTAAGACGCAGATAATTTCAACAGATATTTTTTTATAATAGTTCTGTAAAGCAACGACGCCAAAAATAGAAGCTTCATAAGAACATTGTCTTTTGCAGATTTGCAGTTTAATGGTAATTCAGGATTTTTGATTTTAGAATACACAAATTTTCTCTCCCTTTCTAACTTTTATAAATTACATTTCTTTTCCTAAACCTAACCGGAATAAGAAAAGAAACTTCTTTATCTATAGTTTTTGGTCAAGATTTGAACGTTTACCAATGAGTAACGGCCACTTGCTGTGAAAATTGCATCCATACAATACCTTAGAAAGGCTATTATTAAAGTTTTTCAAGACTTAGTATTATCAATATTCATCGCGTGCGCATCTTAAGTTATTCCAATATTGACGTGTCGTGATAATATTGAAGTTAGGGATAATTTGAACACGTATTAATTTTGAAATCACATGGAATTTTGTAGCGTGTGATGTTTTATATGTAAGAGTACAAATAAAGTACCATCCTATGGGGCATGGGGCTGCCACATACAGTCTGTGTCTGTTCTTTATAGCCTAGTAGGTATGTGTTTTTCTCAATTTACCGAAAAGATCTATTTAAAATACTTAATTCCCCAGGTCAAAACAAGGTTAAGGGTTGAAACGCAAGTTTCACTTTATCTCTTTTAAATTTTAAATTACCTACAGATAATAAAATACAACTACGTATTCCAGAGCATAGTTTTTGTTAAAGAGATTAATAATTTATATGAAATCTAAAGTGCGTTTTGAAACAATAAGTTATTAAATAATGTATCAATTGACGCGATGTGGGAACTTTTCGTTTTATATAAATCACACGTTTTAAGTTACATGACTGAAATATAAAAAGGTTTGCATTTCTAATTACAAATACTATTTAAGCATTAAAAAATATATTATAAATATAATACTTTTATTTAAAAATAATTAAAGTGATAAAAAAGATACATTTTGATAACAATTCAGTTCATGAAGACAAGCTATTTGAAGATGTAATGAAACTAAATAAGTGTTTTTTATATAAAAAACAAAATATGTATTATACATATATAGATAATATATATTAATTCATGTAGATAGGTTAATGTGCACTTATAAACGTTAGTGTAAATTGTACATTTTTTAAATTAGAACCATTGAATGGTTGTATAATAATAATAATTTACATTTACTGCCAGTTCTCAAATCAAGGGCATAGAACGGACGAGAAGAACTGGCAATAAACTCTCCGTCCTTTAAATCGCCAAGATTTTGTACAAATGTTTGTAAGCACCTGCAACAATTACGTCATTCTCCTCATCACATGTTAAAGTAATTATTGTAATTAAATCAAAAAATAATGATATTATCATTAATTCATTAATAAACATGTTTATAGAACCTATATCCGTCTTAAAAAAGTATTACACAAATACAGACATACAAATATGTCTACACACTCTTTATGGAATACGATGGAAACGATTCTTCATCTATGTTAAACGGATGCTGAGATGGTTTCTATGAAACAATCTTACGGTACTGCCAGTGCCCCATTCTGGATTACTTTTTACATCCTTAGGTGTAAATTAATTAATTGCTTTAATTACATTAAAATTCTATTATATTTTATTTGTGCCGTTAATTAAAACTATTACAAATTTCTATGGTACATTAAAAATACAGTTTCGTGTAAGAACGTGTAATATTTTGTATTAAGCCAAGTCGCTTCTCACTGTACGTCTCACTTTTTCAAGTACACTGATTATAATGCGGTTATCAATACATATGGGATTTCGCTTTCTGTAAGCTTAATTTAGATTCAACCACGAGGCTTTGTGCTATATATGACTCGTGTTTCAAAAATGTCTTGAATATTATCCTTTTAACATTTCAATTACGAACAAACCCATAGAAATAACACATATATTAATGTAAATTGATTTTAAAATGATTTTTTTTTAACTTTTAAATACTTGAACATTAATTAAGGATATTAGCAAACGAATTGTTATTTATAACCAACTGTTTCCATCTCTCTCTACCTTGACCATTTTTCTTCCAATCTTTTCCACCAACTTCTTTTAGCTCGGCAGCCCACCGTGCAAGAGGGCGGACCTCTCTTTCTTTTCACTGGTGGCCCTTTCCACCTTGTTACCTTGATTGTCCATCTACCATTGTTCATGTGGTGTGGGCCGCCCATTCCTACTTAATTTTTTTGCAATGAGATAGTGCATCAGTAATTCTTCCTTTCCATATATCTATATATAAAATGTTTGTGTAAAAAAATATCTAGTTTTACGAGGTGTTTTCCATATTCGGTAGGTCGTAAATTATTCTTACCTAATGTGATAAGGGTGACCAAACCCAATTTCGTTTTGGACAATATTTTAACAATAAAAATAAATATACCCCTTCTACCACCACTTTTGTATAACGATATTAGTACTGTAATAATATGTAAATGTGTGTATATCAAAGTCTTAGTGATAACTGATCAATTATCTATCGATCAGACGTCAACCGGTGTCACCTACATACGTTATTTTTTATTTAAATAACACTCACAATTTATATTGTAAAACAACAGTTGATTCAACAATGAAACCCTGACTTTAATTTTGAGGTTGATAATATCACTATTCCACCAACTTGTAACGAATTAGCTCCGGAAACAGGTAAAGGCCAAAACACCCGTTTACAGAAGCTCAGCAATAATTCAATCAGTGTATTACAATTCACGTCGTATTGACGACTTATTCTCGCAACGCATTCAGACAATATACGTATAAATTATGATGTATGAAGATTTAAGCTGTATGTGCTTAGACATACTTAGTTGCTTGTGATTCGTATTACCTAGTTATTACACCATTTATATTTGTAAATAGAGTAAAAGATAATCAAACATAATGTTTGTAAATAAGTTAGTTTTGTTTCTGTAAAACTAGACATCCGAGGTTAACATTTTCAAGTTTCTACTATAGTGATGAATCAAAATCATTTATTCACATAGGTAACACAATGTACACTTATGAACGTCAAAAAAGAAATATATATAAATTGCTTCTAATTTTACATTTACTGCCAGTTCTCAAATCAAGAGCGTAGAACGGAAGAGAAGAACTGGCAATAAACTCTCCGCCACACTTTTTAATCGCCAAGTTTTTTGTTGCAACTATTACACCTTGTTCCACAAGACATCTTAAGTAATTAATAGTTAATAATACTAAAATAAATTAAAAACAAAGATTTGTCATCTATCAGCAGGAGGCATGTTAAAATAGGAGCCCGCACTTACATTCTCGTGAGTCGTGGGAACAACACGCAAATATATCGTCAAAATAACTAACTTCACCGCATACAGTTCAAGTCCGACCAGTCCCTCTTAGTTTCCTAATAAATAAATAATACTATATTTTGAATGCCCATGTGAACAATTAATGTCTGTTAAATAGATGTCTAGCTCTACATAAATAATCAAATGTCACCAGAATTGCCAAATCGTGTTCCAACCGTGTTCTTATTTGTTTTGCCAAAATGTTTCAATACATATGCACTTATAGTTTTTTGTTTTCAGAATCAGAGTCCTCTTAGTAGCGGTATCCAGTAGACGCGGACAGTTAATGAACGAATCATTTGATGCGCGTGCGCCGGCAGCCATTACGATAATGATGCAGAGCAACTCAGTAATAACACAAATGTATTATTATTATGAGATGTGATTTCTAAGTTTTCACTTTGCGCCCGGATTTCGTTTTGTATCTGTTACTGTCATCAATATAGAGCACGCGAGTAAAGTATTGGTATTATCATACCTTGTTATCACCATCAGACAGTTTTAACTTTTTACGGTAATCTATTACATAATTACCCCACATAGTTAATTATTCTTAAAACTCGTAAACTATATTTTTTCGTTAACTCGACCATGCATGTATAATTAATATTTTGATAAAATTATAAGAGTCAGTGTAAAATCGTTTCTTGACAAAATTAATAACACCATTAAATAGGATTACCACGGTTCATGGTGCAATCTTAATAAAATATTATCATCATCTTTAATACCTTAAACGCGATAACATGATGACATGCAAATTATTCTAAGTAATCCTCTTTGGGTATTCAAATATATTAAAATCGAACATGTAAACTTTCATTTTAATCTAGTCAAATTTTTCTAGTTCTAGTTTGACTAAGTATAGGTACTTATATTATAACTTTTTATTTTATTTAATTTTAGCAGATCAAACAAAAGTTACTTAAGAATATTTCCTGCGCCACAAACTTTAAAGTCTTCTTTTTAATTCACAATAGCAAATGGCCTTCAAAGCCAATAGTATGGAAAGGATGCAGAGGAAGAAGGAGAAGAGGGCGACCTAGAAAAAGGTTACTAGAAGATATAAAGCAGCCTGAAGCGTACGGAGAAAAAAAACCATGGATAGAGACCTGTGGGAAAAGCTGGAGTAGGCCTTTACCCGAGAATGGCCTCCGATTAGAAAAGGAAGGTACTATAGCGAAATATAAGAAAAACCTTACAATAATTGTGTATTAATTGGAATTAAACGGGAATAACTATTATTACAACTATAGAGCCTAAGCTCAGTGTAAACACGTAACACTTGGTAGTTTTGTAATCGGCAGAGAGACATTATCGTGGCGCAGAAGCCTCTTGTGGTGGGCTTTGGAATGTGCTATATTTCTTTTTCCACTAAGATTTTTTTCGGCAGGGCAGGGCAGGGGGCTCACCTGATGTTAAGTCATATGAATTAAAAATAAGTTACGTTCTCTTAATATATTTTGTGCCCACTAAAACATAATAATGCAGAGTAACAAGTACACTTTTGCTAGCTTTAGAATTTACGTTAATGTATAAGCTATTCTATGTCGGTCTCTTAATCAAGTATTTTAACAGACAGCTCACTAGATATGCAAATTTAGGTTCAAGACTTATTAAAGGGTTAAAGGTTATTGCTTTATGTCTACGAAAATTTGCGTAAAATGTATTTAAGAAAAAACGTATATGTACTTATGTATATGTACACGCGTTAGAAGTTATACTTCTTTGACGTAACAAGATAAAAATATATTCTAAATTTTTATCTTTCGCCTTAATCTACGTTTGTAATAAAACGTCACTAACAATAGAAAAAAAATACTCTCATCATTTTCCCCTAACGCGCCAAAAGAAGAATAACTTTTAAAAAAACTAAAATGTTGACTATAGCTAACTTCAGGGTGTCGTTTTTTTGTGACGGTGTGCGCGCATAGAAAAAAATTACACTCATAATTTTTCCCTAACGCACCATAATAAGTATATCTTCAATAAATTATATTTGCGAGCAACTGAATGAAGAACTTATCGCATTTGAATTGCTTTTATTTAAATTTAGCTTAAAGTATTAAAACCTACCTCAATGAGTAACAAAACTTTTAAATGTTTACAGTAGATACTTTTTATCGTATCTTTGATTTCATTGTGTTTAATGTTGTTACACATTTAAAAGTTAATTTTAAATTATTTTTTTCAATGTATATGGAAATTACACACGCCATATTACTAATTAATAGGTGGTGTGACCGCGATCTGTGTATTGTTCGCGAATGAGACTGCCGAGTTCAACTTAATTGAAATAATAAATATGTCTAATGTATGTCAAGAGTCTTAGCGAAAAGAAAGTGTCAGAGAAATGCGTGAGTCATTTTATTTCTGTGATATTAGTGAACATTCCGCAGTTTTCTATATTTTCTACATTAGTCAAATAAACCAGTTTCTAGAGGCTTCAAAAAATTATGGAGTGAAATTTATATGTAGGTATATTACCGAACATAAAGTTGAAAATATATTTGTTCTATATAGTACTATTGACTCAGTGATTCCGCTTATATACACCCTACCCAAACTAATGTAACGTGTTTCCTAAAGCCTTCTCGAAAACTTGTTTAAGAATACTTGAAGTTAATTACTATGTGTAATAAAATAGTGAGCGACACTGGTGGAGCACAAAATTTGGCCAAAGGTTCCTTCAACCTTATTATTATATATTTATTCCGTGTAATATGATACTCGTATAATGATATGCTAGACGATAGGCACGTCTAGGCAACAAATTTTTATTTTTTAAATTTGTACTTGTATATCTATACTAATATTATAAAGGGGAAAGGTTTGATTTTTTTGTTTGTTTGAAATGAATAGGCTCCGAAACTACTGGACCGATTTCAAATTCTTTCACCGTTGGCAAGCTACACTATTCCTGAGTGACATAGGCTATGTTTCATTTTCAAAAAAAAATAGGGATGCTTACTAAAACTTGAATAATCTAACCCAAGGTGTAAAAAAATAAACAAAAATCTTCCTTCAATCGTGTGCGCTGCGAAAACTATTATTGATAGAACAAAATTATGTATTACAATTTTTTAGGACACATCACTATCTATAAAAATTGTCGCGACAGCATGTCTCTATCTTTTATAGTTACGTCACAATAAGCGTCCTTTTATTAATTTTTCTTTTTAATTTTTTTAAGTAGGTACATTAAATAATGTAATATTTTATGTACTAATAATTCACCAATCCACTTCATATACAAATCTTTTAAGACGTATAAAACTTTTATGTTCTATGGAAATGTAGAATCACTTCTACGCAATAAATTACAAGTATCAATGCCTGAAGGCAGATGTACCGTCAGTCATAAAACATGTTTATGCTGACAGTATTTGCCCACCCTTGAGCAAATCTAAAGTTATTTCAAATAAATTATGATTATTTGTAATTTGAAATTAGTTTTAATAACTAGACATACAAAAGAACGTTAACTATGTTATGCATTTTTTACTCGTTTGGTGTGTTTCACCTGAAATATTAAAACTTTAATAATAAATAAAGTTAAATTAGGGGAAAATTCTTTATACGTAAATACATCTTTAAATAGTTGTGACGGAGATGGTTTTTAGCTGCTATTGTCATTATATCCTATTCTGAATATACCTATACTATTCTGAAAGCTTCAGAATGTATAGTTTCAGGCATCAATTCTTTGTGTAAGACTAACACACAACCACTAGGACCTGATTTGTTTAGTAAAGTATTAAGTTCCAACGTAATTCATTGTTAATATTTTTACGCTAAGCGACATCGCAGAACCTCTAGAAGCCATAAAAAAATAACGTAAATATTACGAAATCAAAGAGAAACGTCAGTCAAATACGCCAAACAAACAAATAATACATAATAATATGTATTCGTTTTAATTTAGTTACGCAGTTTAAACAAATAAAATAATGAAGGTGATTTACCCTGAATATGTTTTTATTCCCTATTCAAATATGAGTCATAGGTCCCATTAACAAGTAGTTTCAAAGTTTTTTACAAGCCCACAAAAAGTAATTGCTCGATCGTTCAAATAATATCATTAATTACCATCTGTTATTATTCAATAGCTTAAGCACAAAATCTTTTCTTATAAATTCGTATAGAACGTTCACTGCGTGTAATTCCTTATTTTCGAATATCGAACGTTTCTGTGCTAAGCTACTAAACTAACCTAGTTATGTCAAGTAGATTAACTCCACTAAATCAAACCACGCCCTTGTGATAATGGACGTTTTTATGGCAATTTTTTTGGCAGATCGTCCTCAACTTACGTTATTCTATACCACAAGTCAATGACCTTTCACCAGGTGTTAGTTTACAATCCAATAAATGCCTGGAAGAGACAACTAAAATATTCTTTAGTTACATTATTTATTTTATTGTTGTTTGATAAACTAATATAACATGATCGCTGCTTTATTAGCATTGAGAAGATTACTACTAGAATAGTGTAAATAAATAATTGTCTTTTTAAATCCTTACTTATTCCTTAATGATTTATAAATTTGATAAGAATAAGTTTTTATCTTTCATACTTAACAAAAGATAGTAGTTTTAGTCCTGCAAAGTTGTTAAAAGTCATCTTCAAGTTTGTCGAACATTTTTCGTAGTTTAATATCTGTGAAATTTACATTTCTGAATATAGACATTTTTCTACTATACAAGAACAAAGTTGGCTGTATATTATATTCAATGTGTCAAGTTTATATATGATACAATTCGAAATACATATCCTCAAGCCGGTTTAAGTCATAAAACGTCAGGATAATAATATTATTTATCGAATATGATTGTGGCCAGTGTTGGCCTAGCGGCTTCAGCGTGCGACTCTCATCTCTGAGGTCGTAGGTTCGATCTCCGGAACTTCTTTCTATGTGGAGTTTCTTTCTATGTGCGCATTTAACATTTACTCGAACGGTGAAGGAAAACATCGTGAGGAAACCGGCTTGCCTTAGACCCATAAAAGTCGACGGCGTCTATCAGGCACAGGAGGCTGATCACCTACTTGCCTATTAGATTAATAAATGATCATAAAACAGATACAGAAATCTGAGGCCTGGACCTAAAAAGGTTGTAGCGCCACTAATTTATTTTATTGAATGTGATAATATTACATTTAAGGACCAACAAATGTCGCAACTCTACCACTTAAAGTTCGGTTTAATTTTAGTGTCAAATCTAGTGTCGTACATCAATGATTCACAAATATAATAGAAGTGAATAGCCCGCGATGGGACGTGTCATTTTCTCATCACACGCATTCAATCCGAAATATTAATTTGCTCTTTTTATAGTTTTTTATCAACTTTTGTCAAATAAAACTTGGTTTATCTTTTCGTCATGGGGAATTAATTTATTACTGTCTAAAATCATTATTATACCAATTATCTTATTTCTAACGGTTTAACGGCATTTTGGTGAATAACAATGGCCCTTATTTTTATAGTTAAATTACACGTTATATGGGGCAGAATAGCGGCTTTATATCAACTTAAAATA